AGTCTCATGCTAATTAAAACAAGATATTTAATGTTTAACAAGCCATTTTCCCTGGGTGTTGTTTAGGCTAAGTCATTCTTACATAAGTTATCCGTCTGTGAGTCTGTTGTTGAGGTAGGTGATTGGCAGCGGCAGAGCGAGCTACACCCCATGACCCAGCTTATGCGTGTGTGCAAGAAGTGTGTGTGATTCATGCATTGTAATCGAAACATTGGACTTATAGTCGTGAGTTGGTAGAGACCGCTAGTGGTGAGTGACAAGTATCTGATCATTTTGAATAGGGTAAGGTATATAAGGATTATGAGAACAATCGTTATCCCTCAATTATTTTTGAATAAAAATGTGACCGTACCCATATTATCATGATATAATAGGCCTAGTTCGATTCTGGTTGCTTCAGGAATAATATTTAAATCCTTTAATGGCTCTGGACAAGTGTCGTAATGTGTATAGTAATATATTTTGAGTGACTTTGATGTCCATTATTTTGTGCTGTATTTATGTGCTAATTATTTCTCCAATACTTTAATACTTTTCAATGAAATGGCGACCATACTGTACAAAGTAGGTATTTTAAGCCAAGTATGAATGGAGATGAGTGTAGGATGAGTGGCACAATCTTTTAGTCTTGTTAGTGACTAAGGCCGACATATCCTTAGACACAGCTGTTAATTAATAGCCCATACAACTAATGGCAACTAAGGGACCTAACCTACAGTTTATAGTGGAATCCGACCACATTTCTGCCTTGGTATAGACAAATTGGTCTAATTATCAGGATAGTACTGCGGATAGTTCTGAGGCAAAACAAATCTAGACTACAAGATTTAGCGTGCAAAGTTGAATGCATGTGGCCAGTACGTTAGATGTTAGCTGTGAATAGCCTACTCAACAGAAACTGGGTTACTCCAGGCTGATTGTGGTGGTTAGTTATAATTTTATGGTACTGTAACTCACAGAAAAAAGAAAAGGTACAGAGGAAATACTCAATGGTAGGTACACTTAAGTCGCGTCTAGCACCAGTCGCTTGTGTCTAGTGAAAATTCTATTGGTCGTCCCCTTCCGCTCCCCATTCTCACCTCACCATCACATACCACAGCGCTCACCCTGTGGCGCTCACGCCTGTGCGCTACAACTGCTACTTCAAACAATAACCGTTCGGGCTCTTCGTGGCTCGGTACTAGTGGATTTCCTCCTCACGATTCCAGAGTAAAAAGGACACAGTTGTTCCATAAGCATGTTTCCTCTGTAGGCCTATCTTTACTTCTCTTATGGTTAACTTAAGAAACCTGCCAAATTCAGTTCACAAAATGAATAAGAGTGCACACACTTATCTCAGTACCTTAAAAATAATAGTACCAGCTATCATGAGCCTTTGTTTATTTTGTACTTGGAAAATAATTTATTCACGATCACCCATCACATTGCCACTGAAAAGTTCAATAAATTATAAATACCGGAAGGTGGTAAAACTGGCACATTGCTTAGTGATAAGCAGACCATCTACTAAGTGTTTAGTTACTAACTTGTAAACTTAGGCTACTTAAATTTTCATTTTGAATTATCATGTTTTGAGTAAACTACTGTTAATTAGGTTGTTAGCGTTGCTGTGTCACTCACATTGTTTTAGTCATTTTATACTGAATTAATTATTGTTTAGTGACGATAAAGCCGAAGTTGTGAAGTAAGTAAATAACCCCTGAAATGGAAAGAGTAGCTTTGGTCTGGTAGTGATTAGTGCGGTATTGTTTGGTGACTTCTTCACAGTTGCCCATGAATGAGCCAGACCTACTCCAGTTAGTCCAGGTTTTTAGCCTAGTGGTCACCCTTATCGCAGACCAAGGAATTCCACCCGACCATTGTTGTCTGAGCTATCTTGGTACATTGTCAATTAGGGCTACTGTTTCCCTCAGGAAAAGTACATTGTAACTAGGTCTGGTTTATAGAGGGTTTTATGGGGTAAAAATTGGGTTTTCCCATTTTTGACATAACATTTTTCAATTATTATCTAAAACATTTTAGAGAATGGTCCGATCATGCTGGTTTGCGAACTCGTTTCAATAAATGTTAGTTGACACGTTTGTACAAAATTTCATCAAAATCGTATAATTTTTGCTCAGTTATCTTGCATAGAATTGAATTTGAATGGATGGTGTTTTTGGCATCTGGGGTCAACAAAACAAAAAAGTAAATCGGTCCCAGGTCCATGTCTCACTATGAGACCTACAGTAATAGCTAACCCCATATGGGAAATTCGCTAATTACAGTTTTGTCTATTCTTTGCGTAGAATCGTGTAATTTTTGGTTATATTTACGTATCATAGCCTATGAAAGCAAAAACAAATCTTATCTCAATTTCTACCTGTCTGATTTCCAAGCGTACGTACGGATTTGTGCATAATAAAACCACGCTGTTTTGTGTTGTTTAGTTGGAAAAATGGAGTGCACCAAAGTATAAACCGTGCGACAATGTATAAACAGTGCGACAAAGTAAGTAAATGCAGCAATTAGCAGTTTTCTGTACTATAATCATCAGTGCAAGGAAGCTAACTTTGTCAACCGACTGTAGGAGAAGGTATTTATAACATCAGCTGATTGTTACTTTTGGTTTTACGAATCTATATAGGCTAAATAATAAATCTATTCAAATAACATTAGGTTTTACGATTACCTAGGTTTGCTGCCTATAGGGAGGGTAATAAAGGGTGTTTTTTAGTAAAAATTAATAGCTTAGTATAACATGAATAGATTTGCCATATTTAATCAAAATATATCCATAAACAAGCAAACTACAACAGTTTACTTATTGTCCATAAGAATAACATGGGAATTTTTAATTTACAATTTTCTCCATAACTAATAACCTTAAAAAAACTCTTCAATATACTAAATTATTTGTTTTTTTAAGCTCTTCAAGAAGGTCTAGAGAAAATTTGGGAAATTTTATGTTTTCAGGGTCAAAAATAAGAAAACCCAATTTTAACCCCATAAATCCCCCCATAAAACCCCGTTCCCATGGTCCGATCATGCTGGTTCGCAAACTCGTTCGAATTAACGTAGGTTTACACGTATGTACCAAATTTGATCAAAATCGGATCATTTTTGCTCGAGTTATCGCGCTAACGGACAAATATATATATGTATATATAAATATATATATATATATATATGAATTTGAACGGATGGTGTTTTTGGCTTCTAGGGACATCAAAATAAAAAAGTAAATCAGTCCCTGGTCCAAGTCTTACCATGAGACCTACGGTAATAGCTTATTCCCTATATGGGAAATTCGCTAAAAAGATAGATTCTTGGAATATATAACACCAAGTATGAAGGGAGATGAGTGTAGGATGAGTGGCGCGATCTTGTAGTCTTGTTAGTGACTAAGGCCGGCATTCCTTAGACACAGCTGTTAGTTAATTAATAGCCCATACAGCTAATGGCAACTAAGGGACCTACAGTTTATAGTGGAAGTGCATGCCTATAAATATCCACAATTCGTGACCTCCTAGTAGCTGAATTACAGGACGACACAACCCGTCCCAGTCAATGATGAGAAACCTTGCCCAAAACTATCCATTATTTATAAATTGCCCTTTAAGCCCACCGCACATTGGGGCGAGGCGAGGTACAGGCGAGGCGCGGATGATTCTGTAATACACGTGTTTAAATGGAGCACCGCACATTGAGCAGAGGCTGCGCGCAGCACAGCTGCAGCCTCTGTCAGGCCTCCGCGGCGTTGAAGTTGAAATACAGTTTTCCTGCACCTCACTCGCGCCTGCGTTGGTTTTCTAGAATTTTGTGAGTGAAAGATATAGTAATGGAGCATTTTATTCAGATGGCTATATGTTGTTGAGCATTGCATTCCTTTTTGCTAATGCCACTTTAAATAAAATTATGGATAACATCAAACTGTTGTTTGTTCACATGTAAACATTCTCTAAAAGACCGGTCTGGAAGTTCAGTAGTTAAAACATACTCTCCATGTATTGATTTTTTTATGTAATAACATTTCCAAAAACATTTTTGGGTTTTAAGATAGCGAATAGAGTAAAACTAAATTATTAAACTCACAATCAGAATCAGATAAGGTCAAAACAATCATCCTCTATTCGCGAAAGTAGGACCAAAGCTAGGAAACCTCTGTCCGCCTCGCTTCAATGTGCGGTGACACGAAAAAGTCTTCGCTCCCGCCTGCACCTCGCCTCGCTCCAATGTGCGGCGGGCCTAGGTCGTAATTCCTTTCTAAAGGGAACTTTCCTTATTCCTAATGTTAAAAATACCTCAGCTGTACTTACCTATTTGTTTGTTATTTTTTCAATGTATTACCTTACTAGCAGAGTACCCGTCCTTCGTACGGGGTTGGAATATAAGTATAAAATGCTTATTGCAGTTATACTCAAGCTTTGCGTTTGCAATAAGGGAGGACACAGTTTGATAAAATTTGCTTTTTTAAATGTACAGTATTCTATAGTATTACACATCTACCATAGCCATAATGCTCTGCCACTTCACCTAAACAATAGAGAAAAATAAATTATCAACAATTCGCAAAATATCACAAATTATTGATGAAATGAAAAACATAAACATAACTGTAAACAATCCTACTTTGACAGTTCTCATTGCGAATCACAGTTTTTTGTTGCTGCTTAGTTCAAATTAGCTGTTTTCATAAATGCAAAAAAAATATAGTGCTGCACCCTGTTGGTAAATCTTATAGCTTTTTAATGCTTTTCCATATCATAGAACCAACTTTTTTAGTTGAAACAGCTGACTAAATTCTTTAATTCCCTTTAAATATGAATACTCATAAGGTTAACATGGGGAATTACAGAGCCACTGGGGCGGAGCCCGAAAGGATTCTTGAGATAAGAATATGCCTATAGGCTATGTTAATCGGGAATTTAAGCTATCATCATGCCAAATTTCAGCCCAATTCGTCCAGTGGTTTATGCGTGATTGAACTTAAAAAAAAAAATAAAAAAACAAACACACAAACTTTCACATTTATAATATTAATAAGATATAGGAATTTGAACAGATGGTGTTTTTGGCCTCTGGGGACCTCAAAGAAAAAAAATGAAGATTGGTCCCGGATCCAGGTCTTGCCATGAGACCTAAGGTAAAAGGTAATAGCTTATTCCCTATATGGGAAATTCACTTAAACTTAAAGGGATTATGTTTAATCTATAATGTCTGTTTCAGATGTGGCCTCGCTTATTAGAGTTCTTTAAAAAGGTAGGTCAAAGTCAAATTTATTTATTTATCTTGTATATATAGGGATACATAAATAGTGTCACAGTAAAGTAAAATAATGATACCTAATCTTATGGTAAACTACATCAAAGCTCTCTCAAAGCTATTTAAAAATTAATTGAAATAATCCATTAATCAACTTACTAGATTTAAATTACTCATAAACTGTCAAAATATTAAGCTCAGAAAATTTATTTTTCACTGATACTTTGTCTTCTAGATTTAATATAATTCTCAAAGCTTCTTTTGTGTTCTGAGATACTGGTAGCAGAGCCTCGGGAACCTAGGTTTGATTTATTCAGTCTATTTTTAGGCTATCAGGCTTCCCAAATTAGAGTATTTATTAACAACTGGCCAGTCGACTTTAATATGCAAAAGGGGCTATTCGTAGTTCTGTGTATAACACACTTTATCGCTCAGTGGCAAACTGGGCCAAATCGACTACTGAGTTGATTGTTTTAATTTAGGTTAATAAAATGACTTTTATGGCGTTAATAGAAGCCTATCCTTATAGCCTGTATTTGAAACCTACCCTTCAACCGGGACAATGCTCTGATTCAAAACCGAATTGATACATAATCAAACACTCTCAAAGATCTCTATGTATTTTAGAAGTGATTTACATCCAAATATTTAAATAAGAACAAATTAATACTCACACCTGTATGAAATACCTAAATTTAGTACAGGTAAAATAGGGTTTTATAAACAACAAAATTTGTACATTATTGAAATTTCACCTGTGAGTTACTAATAATATGAGAAATTAAGATCCGATGAGTCCCCAAAATTTTGAGCGTCCTAAGGCCCTTTTTGTTCCGAAGGGCCCTTGTCCCTGAATATTTTTTTTTTACGTTTAAGGTCGAGTGAGGTGTCGTTTTCGATGGTTTTAGTCATTTTAAATCGATTGGGACTAGTTTTAACTGTATTAAACCACTCCATACAGGGTGTTTCGAAATATTATTACTTTTGACGATATTTAAACATTTATTCATAAAGTAATAAAATTAGTTACCTCCATGCCCTATATAAAAGGGGATTATTGAAAATAATTGTAATTCTTTACTACGTAAGGGGAAAGGATCACAAGGAGTAAGAGAAAATATTAAATACCCCCGTCACAGCAAACCTGCAGACCAAGCGAATTCCCGTTTTACTTACTTGATTTTCAATTAAATCTTAAATAGCATTGCGTTTAACGATTATCTAGGTTTGCTGCTACAAGGAGGCTAATTAAGTGTGTTTATAGTAAAATATTAATAGCCTAGTATAAAACAAATAAATTTGACAAGTTTGATCAAAATATATCTATTAACAAACAAACAAAATCATTTTACACTATTCTACATAAGAATAACAGGGGAATTTTAAATTTACAATTTTAGTATTCTTATCTGTAACTAATAACCATACAAAAACACGTTAATATACTAAATTATTTGTTTTTAAGCTATTTCAAATGTTCTAGAGAAAAATTGGGAAACTTGATGTGTTTTGAGGGTAAAGTAAATAAGAAAACCCAATTTTTACCCCATAAACCTCTTTCCCATTGTTCAGGACAAAAATGCTTGTACTGACAATGCTGCTCTGATGTCTTAGTGCTGTCCTGGTCGTCATAACCACAAAAGATAACCGTACTTGTATCGATTGAAAATAAGTTTGAGGAACTTAAGATACAAGTTGCAAACGTCAGTATGTATGAAAGGTGTTTTTGCACCACATTGTTCCTGATTGGTGTTGCCTGTTCTGCAATATGCAAGGTTTGTAAAGGGGAATCCTGCTTGAACACCAACTTGGACAAAATCAGTAAATATGGACAAGTTGCTAAAAGTAGTAAAATTGTTAATGAGTCGTCTGAGAATAATTATTGTGATGATGAAATTGTAAAGAGAGATACTACGGAAATTGTAGATAAATAGCTTTAGTTTAAGTACTTCATTTTAATATGTAATGTAAGGTTTTATACAAATACAATTGTTTTAATTTTTAATATAAACGTTTTTTAATAGATTGCCAACTGAAATAGAAAATATAACTAGTTTTAGAGTCTTGAAATCTAGGCTTAAGCATTGTTATCTCAATAAATCCATTTAAACATTGTTTATTACATTACTTTCTTATTATATTATTGTTAAAGTTAAAATCATTTAATGCACGTTATTTATTTTAGTATTGTCATCTCAAGGAATCCATTAAAACTGGTTTAATATTGTTGTTATTATAAATTATTTAATTATTTATTTAGTTATCTAGGCTATATATCTAATTCCGTAAGCCCAAAATTTTACAATGAAATTGTGGGCGAACGGAAGGCCGTGGAAAACTGGGAGAGGTCTCATTTTAAAGGTCTGGGCATGAAATTTTGGGGAAAATTATTCATTTTTCTTAATATTGCACCAAAAGGTTGTTACGGAATAAAATAATTCCCATTTAAATAGCATGGGAATCTAGTTCATGTCTGCTTTGTTTACTTTATAACATGTGGTTTAACTTTATTTAAAGCCACAGACTATGTAATATCATAACATAATAATAAATAATAACATAATAATATGTAATATCATGGTGGAAGGAAAAACATAGGTGTGATATTCCCATCATATTCTGACGTCACTCAGATTGCAAACAAAAGATCACCTGATTGTAATGACGGGAATAGCACACCTATGTTTTTTCCTTCCACCATGATGTAATATGTACAGTAATATGTATACAGTAACTGTATACTATTATAAAGCTAAAACTAGACTTTTTCCCAATTTTAAGGGTCTGGATTAGTTAATGGAATACGATTGTTTTTTTAGGTATGTCTGAAAAAAGTGTGAAGTTAGAAGTAATTACTGGAGTAGGCAAAGGGAACATATTTGTCATGAAAAAAATAAAACAATCTACGGATCCTAATATGCCGTTGAAGTTTACAATGATTCAATTCCCATTGCGATTAGCTTCCTAAAGTACCTGGGGACCGAGCTTTGCTCGGGGAAAATCATTAGTTTATTATGAAAGTAGTCTTAGTATTGCAGATACATAAATCCATTCCCAAAATCCACACTGCTCGCCTTTACTACATCCTACAGCACTCCCTACGTCGTGGAAATGTTTCTCTCCCTTCCCATTGCATGTTAGGATTGCAGATACATTAATGTAATTGCCAAAGACAGTTCCCACACTCTGCACTGCTAGCCTTACTACTTCCTTCGCCACTTCCTACGCAGCGGACCTGTTTTACTCCCTTCCCATAGCATTTTAGGATTCCAGATACCTTAATCTAATCGTCATAAACAGATCCCAAACTCCGCACAGCTCACCTTGACTACTTCCTTCACCACTTCCTACGTCACAGACCTGTTTTATTCCCTCCCAAAAGCATTTCAGGATTGCAGATACCTTAATCTAATCGTCATAAACAGTTCCCACACTACAGACTACTCGCCTTTAGTACTTCCTCCACCACTTCCTACGTCGCGGACCTGTTTTCCTCCCTTCCCATACCATTATAGGATTGCAGATACCTTAATCTAATCGTCATAAACAGTTCCCACACTCCGGACTACTCGCCTTGACTACTTCCTTCAGTTCCTTCACCACTTCCTACGTCGCAGACCTGTTTCCTTCCCTTCCTATAGCATTTTAGGATCGCAGATAACCTTAATCTAATAGTCATAAACAGATCCCACAATTCGTACTGCTTGCCTTTACTTGGCCTACAATGCGTTGAGCAATCTTCAGTATAATCTTTGCTCAATAGTAACAAGTGATATGCTTTCCCTTTTGTACTGTATTTGTAATTTGGTAGTATACTGTGGGTAGTTGGCTTACTATGAACACATGCTACAACTTCAAGTCTTTTGTTTACTTTTTCCTTGTTATTTAATTCAACCAACATGGTTACTTAGCAACCCATAAGACTAATGTTAAAAAAATGTGACTTTCAGTTTCGTTTTTCTACGTAATTAGATTTTTGTTGGCAGTTCTAACTGCATGAAACTCGTTTTTAGGCCAAAAATAAACTATTTACAAGATTTGAAGAAAATCGTCGGAGCCGTTTTCGAGATTTTTCTGCATGCAAGCAAGCAAGCAAGCAAGCAAGCATACATACAAGCAAACTTTGCTCGTATTAGAGTATAGGATAAAGCGCAAGGCCAAACCTTCACAAAAGTTGGCATTTATTTCAAAAACCCCAGTGTTTACTCATGGTCAACTTTATGTTGCTTTTAGATGGGTAAAGCGGTCAGATGATGATAAAATAGTACTAGAACCAAATAAAGACCAAAGAATCGACCAAAATGGATACTATACAACAAATTTTGTTTACAGAGAGATTTTGTTATAGAATTAGCATTTTAAATTTGGAGGATGACATTATCTCTATGTGTTTTATCTAAGTGAATTTGTCTATATTCAAAGAAATTTATACATAATTAATTAATAGACATGACAATTATTATGGAAAATGCTCTTTAGTTGTATTATGATTAGAAAGTTTATAGGTATTATAAACACCTCGCATGAACAGTCCCTTGGAATTTTAATTTTAAACAGAGCAGACATAAAAATGCATTATGCAGGTATGTAATAACTATTAAACATATTACCGGTATAATATACAAAAATGTTAAACGGTAATTCAAGGTAGGGTGACCAATGAGACTAATAATTTGTACAAAATAATTAATAGAATATATATAGGGGCTATTGCCCCTACAAGCCACTAGTGTATTGTTGTATTGTTATAAAAAATAATTCATTATATTATTGTTAAAGTTGAGAAGTATTTAATGCATATTATTTATTGTTATATATTTAAGATAATAGTTTCAAGTTGTTTTTAAAGCAAGCTAGTCTTATATAGAAAGGTAGAGAATAAGTCAAAACAACAAATAGCAGATCTTGACAAGAAACAAGGAAAACCAGAGTGTAATATGGAGAAGACTGACCAAGGGACAAAGTTCATTATTATCTAGAACAAGTTTATCTGAGTTTATGAGCTGCAGACAAGCCAATTTTTCCTGGCTTTTGCAGCAAGCTTTGTTTATGAAATGTAAGATTTTTGAGATTTTCCAAATAAATAAAAAATATATATAAAAAAATAACTTAAATAGCTAGCCTACCTAAGAAAAATACATATCAATTTGAAATTGGTCTTAATAGATTTGCATAAGAAATCACGTTGAAAGATTATTCTCACCACCTTAAAAGTTGAAATTTTTGCTTAGTAACCTATGTTATTATGTTAACGTGTAAAACTTAATCCATCCCCTTTTAGTAAACACGCCATATAGGAGATAAGCTATTACCGAAGAAGGTCTTATGGGAAAACATAGACCCAAAACCGATTTACGTTTTCATTTCGATGCCCCCAGAAGCCTAAAGCACCATCCACTCAAAATATTATATATGTGTTTATATACATATATATAATATAATATATCCATGTTATATACGTGTCCATAAACATGAAAACTCGAGTTATTTAGGTTCAATTTTAACGAAACCGGCATAATCGGTCCATGGAACAGGGTTTTATGTGATACAAATTTGTAATCTTTGACCCTCAAAAGACAAAGTTTCCCAATTTTTCTCTAGAGCATTTTAAAGAGCTTAAAGAAAACAAATAATTTAGTATATTAACGTGTTTTGTAAGTGTATTAGTTACGAATAAAGTTCAAAAATTGTAAATTTAAAATTCCATGTTATTCTTAAGGAGAATAGTGTAAAATGATTTTGTTTGTTTGTTTATAGATATGCCTAAATAAAACTTGTCAAATTTATTTGTTTTATACTAGGTAATTAATATTTTACTATAAACACACTTCATTAGCCTCCTCTTAGCAGCAAACCTAAGTATTCATTAATCTCGATGCTATTGTAGATTTAATTGAAAATTGGGCAAATGAAAATTCGCTTAATCTGCAGGTTTGCTGTGACGGGGGTATTTAATATTTTTTCTTAATCATTGTAATCTTGCCCTCTTATATAGTAAAGAATTAATTACAGTTATTTTCAATAATCCCCTTTTATATAGAGCATGGAGGTAACGTATTTTATCACTTTATGAATAAATGTTTAAATATCGTAAAAAAATAATATTTCGAAACACCCTGTATGGAGTGGTTTAATACACTTAAAACTAGTCCCAATCGATTTAAAATAACTAAAACCATCGAAAACCACACCTCACTCGACCTTAAACGTAAAAAAAAAAATTATTCAGGAACAAGGGCCCTTCGGAACCAAAAGGGCCCCAAAAAGGGCCTTAGGACGCCCAAAATTTTGGGGACTCATCGGATCTTCATTTATCATATTATTAGTAACTCAAAGGTGAAATTTCATGAATGTACAAATTTTGTTGTTTATATGGAGTATTTTTGTACTATTTTACCTGTACTAAATTGTATTACATAAAGGTGTGAGGTGATTTTACTTGATGGAATGATCAATTAAGTAAGGAAATAAAGTATTTATATTTTCTTACAAAAGAAATAAGTAAAGAATTTTTATTTTTCTTTACAAAAAGGTTATTTTTATTTTTATTTACAAAAAGAGTATTCTTTTATTTTTCTTTACAAGGGAGAGCGCGGTCTGGGCACTCTGGACACCAAACCCGGTTCCACTCTGGACACCAAACCCGGTTCCAGCTCAAAGAATAGGCCTAAAGTAAGTGTTTTGTTTTTCAGTGTGAACTGGTTTTAGCGAATTTCCCTGTAGGGAAGTAGTTATTACCGTAGGTGGCACGGCAGGACCTAGGCCCGGGACCGTCTCCTTTTTTTCCATTTTGATGTCCCCAGAGGCCAAAAACACCATTCGTTAAAATTTGTATATATGTATGTATATATATATATATATATAGTTCCAGACCATCATGTTTAGGCGGCCATTACGCTTGAATTGAGCAGACGGTGGTGGCCACGATACTAAAAAGCGGCCACCTGTATGGAAAGGCGGCCAGGGCTGCCTACCCAACTACTTACTTACTTACTTACTGCTGGGGCGCTACAAATCGCAGTCGATTCTTCGCCTCGTAGATCAGCCTCTTCCACGCTTCTCTGTCCGTTGCCAACTCCACTGTCCCTCCACACTGACTCACATCTCTCTTAACTTGGTCATACCATCTCATTTTTGGTCTACCCAGTGGTCGCTTTCCAGTTGGTACAGCACAAAATACTTCCTTCAGTCTTGTTCCTTCTTCCCTTCGCAATACATGACCTAGCCAACCTAATCTTTTTGCCTTTATCAAAGCTATTATATCAGGGTCCTGGTATAACGCTCGTAGCTCTCTGTTTTTTCTAATCCGCCATTCTCCTTCTTCGTTTACTGGGCCGAATATTTTTCTTAGGACCTTGTTTTCAAAAACAATCAAGCGTCCTTCATTTCTCTTGGATAGGACCCAGGTCTCGCTTCCATACAATAATACTGGTTGAATAATGGTTTTATATATTCTTATTTTTGTATCAGATGATAGGAGTTTTGATGACAGGAGCTTCATACATGCACCTAAACATTTATTGGCATTTGCTAATTTACTTAATATTTCTGTATCTTCTATGTTAAAGCTATTTACAGTAACTCCTAAGTATTTAAAGCTTTCTACTGGTTCAATTAAATAGTTGGCTATATTGAAATTGGTGCCTCTATTGATGGGATGTCGTCCAAACTTTATTATTTTGGTCTTTTCCTCGCTTAGTTCCAAACCCACTTTTTTACATTCTTGAATAAACTTGTCGGCTAGAAAACACAAATCCTCCGACTTTTCAGCCAATATCACCACATCATCTGCAAAGGCCATGACATTTAAGTCCACACCCAATTTTAGGCCCCTCTTTAGATTTTTTACTTTTTGTAGAGCTTCTTCAATCGCTATGTTGAAAAGAGTGGGGGAAATCCCGTCCCCTTGTCTCACTCCTGTATTTATACTAAAGCTCTCCGACATTTCTCCATCTACCTTTACTTTCGCTTTTGATTCGTCAACACATAATCTTGTCAAATTTATTAACTTTTTAGGTATGCCATGTTTTTCCATTTTCCTATATAAGGTAATTCGATCAATGCTGTCGTAAGCTTTCTTGAAGTCAATAAATATCCCATAAAAACTCTTATTATATTCATAATATTTTGAAATTCCCTGTTTAAGCAAAAATATTTGGTCTACTGTCGATCTACCTTTCATAAAGCCGGCTTGTTGATCCTCAATTATTGATTCTGTGTACGGATTTAGTCTCATTAATAGAATTTTTGAGAATATTTTATATACTGTGTTTAGAAGTGAGATACCTCTGTAGTTTGAACAAGACTGTTTGTCACCTTTCTTATGTAATGGGATTATTATCGCTTCTGCCCACTCCTCTGGTATTATTTCATAATTCCATACATTTGTTAAAAGGCTATGAATTTCTTTGATTAGGACTTTTCCACCACTTCTAATTACTTCCGTTGTGATTCCGTCCTCTCCAGGGGCTTTATTGCATTTGAGTAACCTAATTGCTTCTTCTACTTCCTGTTCTGAGGGTGGTAAAACATTTGGTTCAACATTGTGGTAGCTTAGATTTTCTTCTATGTCTCTAATTGTCGGTCCATCACAGTTTAGAAGTTCTTCAAAATAGTCTTTCCATACTTTAATGCCTGATTCTTTATCTACTACTACATTTCCACTTTTATTTTTAACTCCATAGGTTCTTGCAGAGAAACCACTTTTGAAAAATCTAATTGTTCTATAAAAATCCCTGTTGTTGTTCGTGGTTCTGTCGTTTTCTGCTTTGGTCAGTTTTTGCTTCAGAAAGTTTCTTTTACATGCTCTAAGCATTTGTTTTGTATTTCTGTTAATTTCACAGTATTCTGCTCTAAGCTGCTCTGATTTCCTTTTCTCTTCTTCATTGTCAGCTCTCCTGCTTGCAATCCATTTGATCTTGATTTCTCTTCTTCTGTTTACCAAAGTTTGGCACTCGTCCGAGAACCATGGATTTTTCTTAGTCTTCTTTTTCTTACCACATACTTCTTTAAGTGTATTGTTAACCTCTCCTTGAATTCTCTTTCATTGTTTTTGGACAAGATTTGGTTCTGTTATAGGTGGTTCTGCGATTTCACCGGTCAGTACTTCAAACCTATTTTCTAGCTTAATCCTGAATTCCTTTTGTACTTGTGGTAACTTCAATTTCTCTGTGTCTAAGATTTCCTTTTTTGACGTTTTCTTCCTTTTTAACGCTATTCTTTGTCTTAGATTAACAAGTACTAAATAATGGTCGGTCCCAAATTCTGCTCCTCGTACTGTTCGCACATTCATAATGCTACTAGCATGTCTGATGTCTATTAGCACATGGTCGATTTGATTCGCAGTTCTTCCATCTGGAGATGACCAAGTCGCTTTGTGTATTTGTTTTCTAGGGAATATTGTGCTGCTAATTGTGCTGAGAGTGTTTGATTGTGTATCAATTCGGTTTTGAATCAAAGCATTGTCCCGGTTGAAGGGTAGGTTTCAAATACAGGCTATAAGGATAGGCTTCCATTAACGCCATAAAAGTCATTTTATTAACCTAAATTAAAACAATCGACTCAGTAGTCGATTTGGCCCAGTTTGCCACTGAGCAATAAAGTGTGTTATACACAGAACTACGAATAGCCCCTTTTGCATATTAAAGTTGACTGGCCAGTTGTTAATAAATACTCTAATTTGGGAAGCCTGATAGCCTAAAAATAGACTGAATAAATCAAACCTAGGTTCCCGAGGCTCTGCTATCAGTATCTCAGAACACAAAAGAAGGTCAAAAAATCACAATCAATACGCTCCCCTTGTTCAATAGAAGTGTCAATAGAGCAAAAAAAAAAACCTTGAATTATCTTTGATATTTGTAACATTTGTAGATGTTTCAGTGACAATATACGAAGCTTATTCTTTCAACAATCTTATTAATTCTCCTGTGTTGATCTTTGTCAAGGTAATCGGCCTAACCGAACAATTGCAATAAAATACAATATCAATAAATTGTCAATCAATACATAAATTATTACATATTGGTTCAATCAGTGTTTGGTATTATCATTTCAATACTACAGAATCATTGCCATATTTTAATAGAATTCCAACAAAGAGTATATTTTGCATTCAGAGTGTTTGGTACACATTTTAATACATTTTAAGAAGTGTTATATTTAAGATCATTGAAGGTCCTTTCAGGAGGACATATCAGACCTCTCCCGGTCCATAAATCGGACTTCTGGGATATTTAATTACAGGGCCCACTTAACATCTTTAATTCCACTGTGCACTGCTCTGTAATTGTATGTCCTCAGTAGTTCAATTAAAATATAGATTAAATTCATTAAAACCCCACCAGGGGGCAACTTTTTATAATACTCACACCTGTATGAAATACCTAAATTGTATTACATAAAGGTGTGAGGTGATTTTACTTGATGGAATGATCAATTAAGTAAGGAAATAAAGTATTTATATTTCCCTACAAAAGAAATAAGTAAAGAATTTTTATTTTTCTTTACAAAAAGGTTATTTTTATTTTTCCTTACAAAAAGAGTATTCTTTTATTTTTCTTTACAAGGGAGAGCGCGGTCTGGGCACTCTGGACACCAAACCCGGTTCCACTCTGGACACCAAACCCGGTTCCAGCTCAAAGAATAGGCCTAAAGTAAGTGTTTTGTTTTTCAGTGTGAACTGGTTTTAGCGAATTTCCCTGTAGGGAAGTAGTTATTACCGTAGGTGGCACGGCAGGACCTAGGCCCGGGACCGTCTCCTTTTTTTCCATTTTGATGTCCCCAGAGGCCAAAAACACCATTCGTTAAAATTTGTATATATGTATGTATATATATGTATATAGTTCCAGACCATCATGTTTAGGCGGCCATTACGCTTGAATTGAGCAGGGGGTGGTGGCCACGATACTAAAAAGCGGCCACCTGTATGGAAAGGCGGCCAGGGCTGCCTACCCAACTAATATTACAATTTTAATAAAAACTTCGTAAAACTGTTACAATTTGTTCTTATTTAAATATTTGGATGTAAATCACTTCTAAAATACATAGAGATCTCTGAGAGTGTTTGATTGTGTATCAATTCGGTTTTGAATCAAAGCATTGTCCCGGTTGAAGGGTAGGTTTCAAATACAGGCTATAAGGATAGGCTTCCATTAACACCATAAAAGTCATTTTATTAACCTAAATTAAAACAATCGACTCAGTAGTCGATTTGGCCCAGTTTGCCACTGAGCAATAAAGTGTGTTATACACAGAACTACGAATAGCCCCTTTTGCATATTAAAGTTGACTGGCCAGTTGTTAATAAATACTCTAATTTGGGAAGCCTGATAGCATAAAAATAGACTGAATAAATCAAACCTAGGTTCCCGAGGCTCTGCTATCAGTATCTCAGAACACAAAAGAAGGTCAAAAAATCACAATCAATACGCTCCCCTTGTTCAATAGAAGTGTCAAAAGAGCAAAAAAAACCTTGAATTATCTTTGATATTTGTAACATTTGTAGATGTTTCAGTGACAATATACGAAGCTTATTCTTTCAACAATCTTATTAATTCTCCTGTGTTGATCTTTGTCAAGGTAATCGGCCTAACCGAACAATTGCAATAAAATACAATATCAATAAATTGTCAATCAATACATAAATTATTACATATTGGTTCAATCAGTGTTTGGTATTATCATTTCAATACTACAGAATCATTGCCATATTTTAATAGAATTCCAACAAAGAGTATATTTTGCATTCAGAGTGTTTGGTACACATTTTAATACATTTTAAGAAGTGTTATATTTAAGATCATTGAAGGTCCTTTCAGGAGGACATATCAGACCTCTCCCGGTCCATAAATCGGACTTCTGGGATATTTAATTACAGGGCCCACTTAACATCTTTAATTCCACTGTGCACTGCTCTGTAATTGTATGTCCTCAGTAGTTCAATTAAAATATAGATTAAATTCATTAAAACCCCACCAGGGGGCAACTTTTTATAATACTCACACCTGTATGAAATACCTAAATTGTATTACATAAAGGTGTGAGGTGATTTTACTTGATGGAATGATCAATTAAGTAAGGAAATAAAGTATTTATATTTCCCTACAAAAGAAATAAGTAAAGAATTTTTATTTTTCTTTACAAAAAGGTTATTTTTATTTTTCCTTACAAAAAGAGTATTCTTTTATTTTTCTTTACAAGGGAGAGCGCGGTCTGGGCACTCTGGACACCAAACCCGGTTCCACTCTGGACACCAAACCCGGTTCCAGCTCAAAGAATAGGCCTAAAGTAAGTGTTTTGTTTTTCAGTGTGAACTGGTTTTAGCGAATTTCCCTGTAGGGAAGTAGTTATTACCGTAGGTGGCACGGCAGGACCTAGGCCCGGGACCGTCTCCTTTTTTTCCATTTTGATGTCCCCAGAGGCCAAAAACACCATTCGTTAAAATTTGTATATATGTATGTATATATATGTATATAGTTCCAGACCATCATGTTTAGGCGGCCATTACGCTTGAATTGAGCAGGGGGTGGTGGCCACGATACTAAAAAGCGGCCACCTGTATGGAAAGGCGGCCAGGGCTGCCTACCCAACTAATATTACAATTTGACTTCATATAGTACAGTGCTGCGTGCTGCGACCTACACTTAGTTTCCATCTATTCTCTCGCTTTTACATTTCACCACTGAATTTGCCTTCGACTCATCTGATAGATACAAAAAGTTAGTTTTAAGGAAAATTCCAAAATATGTTATGCTTGGAGATAGGTCTATAACTCGCCTTATGTCTGTCTGATTTTTAACTATTAATTAGCCTAACCTAACACTAATAATTCTAAAATAAAATTGGTGTTAATAACATATTGTATGTTTTACATAAACATTTTCATATTTGAATTTTTTTCAACCAATCTTTATGAAACTTGGTATTTATGTTAAGGTAGAAGAGACCCATGTTGGGAAAAAAACTATCTTGATCCAACTTAAAATTTCAAAATGGCGGTTATGTTTAATCTTTAAACTCAAATTACTCAAAAATGACTGATTTTATGAAAATATGTTAAGAACACTTTTATCTAGCAATTTTAGTTCCCTATCAAACAATACCAAGTTAAAAAAATCGAATAAGAAATAGCTGAAATAGTACGGTTTTTAATTGTAAAATGGGGTAGAATAAGGCAGAAGCTAGTCAGGTTTGTCCCATTTTACAACTCAAAACCATAATATTTCAGCTATTTATTATTCAATCTTTTTAAACTTGGTATTGTTTGATAGGGAATTAAAAATTCTAAATAAAAGTGTTCTTGATAATTTTATATAAGCAAAAAATATATTATTATAAAATATTTTATAATAGCATTGTCAAGAGTTAGAACAATCTTGGATGATTTCAACATCTTTCTCTCTTGAAGTCTAGTTCATACCTTATTTACTTTTGCATACATACAAAGTATGGTACCACATATTATATAGAAATTTAACTTTAATTTAAATAAGAGGCAATTTAACCCAGTTAAGGTTAAGATTTAGCTTCTGTTTCACAGATCAAATGCACGAATTGCGGAAAGCTAATTAGGAAAAAAAATGACAGGAAACGGATTGTAAATGCAGACGGGGTGAAACATTTAGTGTGCTCCGCCTGCAACACACGCATAAGAAAAAATTTCAAAGTAAGTAACCTAGAAACATATAGTGTATCTAGTCATGTAAGGCAAGAGATTGTTAAATATTTGTGGAGGAAAGGTCCAAGAACAATTTGCTGTTTGAGAGTGACAAGCCGTAATTAAACATTTCAAAATAAAACAATAACAATAGGCCTAATGCATGCAATTCAATAACTTTCAAATTTCATAAAGATCCACACCTGTCCTACCCAGCTCACAGCCATTTAATTATCAAGGATTCAGTTTAAAAAAATATTTAAAATTTAGCTTTCAAATGCATTTAAAAAAAATGAATTAATCAGAAATCAGAAATCCTTTATTCAGAAATCAGAAATCCTTTATTGTCATTAAGCAAAACAATCTTGCAATAGACATAGTCACATATTATGGTAAAATAGGGTTACACAGTAACCCAGTCAGACTAGATTAATAAGCTAATATCACAGACAATAACAGGTAAAAATTTAAAAGTTTAAAAGTAAAAAGAAGGCTGTAGGCTGGGTGGAGAATATACTAGATAAACTATTAAACATCTAAACATCAAAACTTAACAACTTTTACATCAAAAAACTCTTTAATCACATAAAAAGGATGTTCAACAAGCCAGTTGTATAGCCTATCTTTAAAAACCAACTCAGGCAACGCTCTTGACTCAGAGTGCAATACATTGAATAACTTTAAGCTCATGATTGAATGGTTACTGGCACATTTACTTAGTCTATGGGACGGAATTTCAAGTAGAGAGTTAGATCTAGTGTAATGAGAATGGAAATCTTTTCTAACAGCCAAGTCTCCTAATTTTAATTTAACATCAAGTAAACACACATATATGTACAGGTTAATGACAGTCAATATCCTAGTTTTTATAAACAAAGGTCTACAATGGGCTTTGAGAGCTGATTTGGTTACTATTCTAAGTGCCTTTTTCTGAAGTAACAAAACATCACTTATATTACTACCGTTACCCCAGAGAATCAGACCATAGCTTAACACTGACTGAAAAAATGCAAAATAGGCTACTCGGATATATTTCTCAGAAACAACAGTTTTTAACCTATTCACTAAATAAATAACTCTTGACAGTTTTGAACATACTAAATCAATGTGAGCTGACCAAGAAAGGCTGCTGTCAATCAACACACCCAGGACTTTTATGGGCCTAACCTCTTTACAAATTACACCTGAGCCCAAATCTTTGTCTTTAGTATGGCAAACTAGGTGTTGTGTCTTGTCTACATTAAGAAGGAGTTTATTGGCACTAAACCAATCCCCAGCTTGTTTCATTGTATGTTCTACAGATAACTTTAATCTATTGAGATCAGGGTGAACAGTTAGGAACGTTGTATCATCTGCAAACATTGTGGTTTGAGAACCCTCAATACTAAGTGGCAAATCATTGACAGAAATCAAAAAGAGTAGGGGACCAAGGACCGAGCCTTGGGGAACCCCAGTTTTCACTTCAACGCACCTGGAATGCACACCCTTTGCATCAACAAACTGTGAACGACCACTTAAATAAGACTTAAAAAATTGGAGAGGACAACCACGGATGCCATAGTGCTCCAATTTACACAGCAAGAGACCATGATCGACACAATCAAAAGCCTTGCTCAAATCACACGCAGTCACCTGAGCAAGACTCCTTCCCTCAAAAGCTTCCAAAATCCCAGAAACAAAGCAATCAATGGCATCCGTAGTTGACCTTCCACTCAGAAAACCAAACTGACATGCAGAAAAAAGCTTAAATCTATCAAAGTGTGTACATACCTGGTGCTTTACAATTCGTTCAATTAATTTACCTAAAATAGGCACTAATGACACTGGTCGATAATTCTTGACATTACTTTTGCAACCCTTTTTGTGAATAGGAACAACTCGTGCTATTTTCAGCACTTCTGGGAAAACTCCCTCCCTAAAAATCGCATTGATACACAACACCAAAGGAAGCAATATTGCACTCAGAATATACCGGATTATGTAACCCGAGAGGCCGAACACATCTTTACTTTTTGAAGCTTTCATGGCCCGCACTTCACTAATAACTTCCTCACTGGACACATATTTCCATTCAAGGTGAGCTTCACAACGACCGGACCTACGAAGCAGTTCCTCTGAAGACACATCAGGCTGATCGATGGTACTTCTGGCTTCCTCTACTGAGCTGATGAAGAAGTTGTTAAACCCCTCAGGGGAGATCCCCACCTCGACATCCGGAACATTGTTGGTTGTGCTCTTCTTGATGATGTTCCAAGCTGTTCGGCTCTTGTTGGAAGCGGACTCGATGGATCTGTCGTTTGCATCTAGTTTTGCCTGGTTGACTGCCGATTTGTAGATCTTCCGACTGCAATTGTATGCCTTAAGTGCCACCTCGCTAGGAGAAGCTTGAAGTATTGTACGATAGGCCATAGTCCTTTCTTTCATTTTTTTCAAGTCCTGTGTGTACCAAGATTTTCCTGCACCACTCGAAGTTTTGTTCTTCTTTCTTACGATTTTCTCCGGGCAACTTATGTAAAAAACATCCAGAAGAGTGTCGAAAAAAACATTAAATAAGTCCTCAGCAGGTAAATTACCAAAGTTTAACAGAGGCAGCCAGTCAATTTGTAGTAAATTGGATTTAAATTCTTGTAAACGCTTCAAAGAGACGTCTCTATTGACAACTGTAGGTATTTCTGGTCGAGTAGAAGATTGGACCAACTCCACTGTAAGCTCCAGCCCATCATGGTCAGACATATCAGGGTAGACCACTTTAGAAGAATATAACTCTTCCGAGATGTTGGTAAAGATGTTGTCGAGACAGGCGTTGAACCTAGTTGGCGCTCTGTTAATGTAATGACAGTTAAATTGTTCCAGAGTGTAGACAAGCTGCTTCACGCTTTGTAGTTTATTATTTACATCAAATTTGGCATTGAAGTCACCACCAATTATTATATTACACTTGAAACGATCTAAGAATATTAATAACAGTTCCAAATTAGTGAGAAAGATGTTGCTGTCTCCAGAAGGTGAATGGTACACCGATACTATAGCCAAATTAAAAGCCTTGATAAATACACCAGAACATTCAAAATTCTTTTCAACACAGAGCCAATCCAGTTTTAAATTCTCAAAACTTATCAGGCTGGATACAAAGATACCAGTACCACCCCTAATGAAATTCTTCCGACAAAAAAACGCTGCACTTATGAAGCCGTCTAGGTTAAGGAACTCCACTTCTTCTTCAACGAGCCAATGTTCATTTAAGCAGATAATACTATATTCGTTTTCAGTACTTTCTATTTCTAACATATTTAGCTTGCCTTGTAATCCTTGAACATTTAAGAATAAACATTTAAGTACACAGGATCCTTTACGCTGTAGGCCTACGACATTTGACTTACAATGTAGTGATGTTGAGGTAGATAGGCCTAGGCCTAGTTCCATACGGACTTTAGGAGGTGTTAGTCCTTTTTGCGTTGCGGTCTCGCATTCCATAAAAAACTCTTCCTATCATTGTGGAACGGTCTAGGTTTAGGTCTAGGTGATGTGTACTCACACACAAGTACACCTTCAGGCCACAGTTCCGGCTTTATAATGTTGTCTACGTCTTCCGGGTTGACTCCTACCTTATAGGACTTGTAGCCAGGGAATTTAGTCCTAACTTCTTCACAAATCACGTTACTAGTATTAACGCCCACCTGTTCTAAATGTTCCTTAATGTCCTCGGGTTTGCATTGTAGTGACAATCGAGATACAAACACCCACTCCTTCTTCTGAGCCGAAATCAAATTGGAATTCTCCACACTAGGCTTAGAACCCACGACAGTTTTCTTACTATGGTTAACAGATAACCTCTTCTCTTTTTCGCTAAGTTTATCTGACTTGCCACGGGGGTTAGGCTTAGGCCTACCCAGAGCCTTGGTATCTTGATTGGTAGTCTTATTTTGGGCTGCTATTTGTGCATATGTTTCGATATCATTGGAACCATCAGATATTTTTTCAACACTAGAAACATTTAATACTTCGATATTAACATTTTCATTGTTCATTACATTTGAATCGGATGTGCAACGATCACTTTCGTCTGTAGTGGTAGGCCTATTCCCAATAATGTTTGGGGTTGGAATTGATTTGCTAGAGTTTTCAACTTGTTTCAGCCGCTCATCTATTTTAACGTAATTAGTTTGAATCAAGTCTAGTTTATCCCAGATCAATTTTAAGCTGGTATTGTCATTGGTATTGCCACTCAAATGTTCATTTTTCAAACGGTCTATGAAACGTTTAACCTCACTTTCACATGCAGAGCAGAACCACATAGCTTTACCCTTCAATTCTTCAAATTTTTTGCATTCTTCTTTAGTTATTTTGCTACATTTGAGGTGAAACCACTTTTCACATATACCTCCGCAAAAAATACCTCCCGTTTTATTAGTAACTTTATAATTACATTCACCACAGTGCTCGTCGTCTTTACTTCCACCCGTCATTTTGTTACTTCCTGGGGATACAATAGCCAAATAAAGGGGGGATAATACAAAGCCAAATAGCAATTAGGCCTACCATTAAAAATTATTGAATTTAAATTTGTAAAAATTAAACCTTTAGGGGTCCCCTCTAATCAAGAAGAAACACAAATTCAGGAAGAAAGATGCCTCTCCGCTGATGCCCAAGATGTTGTGATAAGCCACGGCCACCTCACTCTCCTCCGGTGCCCCATCAGGCACAATCGGCCTGTTTATTTACTCCATAGTGTAGAAACGATGACAATAAAAAAAAAACCAAACAGTTTATATGAAAAATGACACATGGTTTGAGATTAAATAGGATGCAGAAATGTTCCACGAAGTTCACATTTGCAGCGTCACACAACCTCTGACTTCTGGGCGGCAAAAGTAAGAAGAACTGCGTGGCAAACAGTTTCACTGGGGACGTCAGAACAGTAACATGGTAAAGCACATACTAAACGAAAACACAATTTTGAAACAAAAATGAGTCGTGAAATTTGTCGGTGGAAAGTAGTCACGAAATCTAATTCCTTATTTTCCATGTTTTGTTCCAGAAAACCACCCCTGAAAATGAACTAATGGGGAGGCCCTTAAAAAGGTATGTCTTTATTAGATCGCTTTCTTGTCCGGTACAAATTGATTGTTGTACAAATGATTGTTACTACACACTACTAGTTAGGGGAGTGTTGCACGACGTCCAAGTGCCACGACGTCCAAAGATATTAATTAGTGCCACGACGTCCAAAAGATAATTTTTTAGTTGTTGCACGACGTCCAATATAAATTATTTGACTGTTGCACGACGTCCAATATACATTATTTGACTGTTGCAAGATGTCCAAAATTACAGTAATTGCAAAAAATATAGTCTTTCTACAAGCTTTGGACGTCATGAAGTTGGACATCGTGAAACAGCGCACTATTTAATTGTAAAAAGTATCATTTGCACCACGTCCAAAGCCTCTGCCAGTTGCACGACGTCCAAGTGCAACGACGTCCAAAGTGCCTGCACACTGTGAACACTGTTTGCCAACCTCAGTGCATACAGTTTGCATTGCAATTATTGAAGGCAACTAGGCCTAGTCTAACAACTGTTTCAAGTTGTCAACTGCTTCATCTTCGATTAATGTTTAAATTATTCAATTTTCAATGGTTCTAATTGTACTAACTATTGGATTAACTTAATTTTTTTTTATATGTAAAATAAATAATATGTCACCGTAAAATGGAATGATGCAGTATTTCTGTTGTTATGATTGCATAATTGATTTCTACTAAATAGAGCCACGTCATAGAAACTAAATAAATAAATGACTACACTCTCCACAATACAATAATTAAGTCACTAGCCCAAAAGTAAATATGGTAGGTTTTTAATGTGAGTAGTAGTAGAATTCTAAGAACTGCATTAGAATAGAGATTAATTGTCGTACAATATCAATTGGTAGCAAATTTACTCGTAAGATAAATTTATGCAGAGTTTTATTATAGCTGTAAGACTTCCGATTAAAGTACCGGTATCATTGAAAAGTTACCTCTTGTCAGGAGCGCAAAATTTGTGAGAAATTTTGTTCTCCGTACACTGAACTTTGTTGTAGTTCTCTAGGGAGTTTTCCATCTAATTCTGTTTCTGTAGTGAATTTAATTGTTGGATATATTCCGTTGATTTGGTCAGTAAATATTTTTATGTCTTGATTTTTGTCAAAGACAGCAAATATGTCATCAACGTACCTAATCCAAATTCAGGGTAAATATGGTAATGACTGTTTTGATAAGATCTCAAAATAGCTCATAAATATATCAGCGACAAAACATGAAAGAGGATTTCCCATTGCCGTGCCATTAGTCTACACCAACACCATATGAATAATTTTCCATTAGGTCAGGTCTCGGGCCTAGGTCTTACCATGAGACCTACGGTAATAGCTACTTCCCTATAGGAAAATTCGCTAAAAGATGCAAATTATTTATTTGCCAATTATAATAGATTATATATATTCTATAAATTTACTATTATTTTATTAATAAAAATATCTTATGTGTTTCAAAATACATAATTTTTTTAAATATTTAATAGGAAAAATATACATATAAAATATGTCTATTTTATATATTCAAAACTTATATTTCATTGATATTTTGCATTGCTTTTTGATAATATTTTAAATATATATTTGAATATATCAAACTATTATTAAAGATATATTATTTATATATTTTATTCGAGGTTCTATCAAATACAACTTTGAATATATAAAATATTTATAAAATACATATTTGTGCTACTAGGGCTAGGTTAAAAACCTCCATAAGACAAATTTGTTTGTGACATGGGCTAGGACTGATTAAATGTCTATACTGTATAATGAATATTCTTAGCAAAAACCTCTACAAGACAAATGCGACCTCTATTAGACGAATTTCTTATTATGTTAACCTCCATAGTATTAGTTTTTCAAACAAACAGAAGCTTGTCTCAACATGAAACCCCCACCCATCCCTCTTCCTTTTATAGAGGTTATCTCAGAGCGAGGAGAAACCGCTATAAGACGAATAACGGCAGTATTAAACCTTGATAAAGCAAACCTCTTTATTAAGAATACCTCGATAATAGGATTTTTCCCCCTACCTCTTGAAATTTGTCATAGAGAGGTTACACTGTACACCGATTAATTGAGATTTTCATTACTAACCAAAATTTTTGTGTGCTGATGTACACACATTCGAACATCAAGAAAAGAAGTATCAACACGTGTATACCACTTAAGAAACTTATATCTTAAACGATTGTTTGCTGGAAAAGTATTTCCCAAACATGAGCTAACATTGTATGGCAAAAACTTGTACTTGTAAACATATATTGCATTTACCACAAAACTTGATTATTATAACAAGTGTTTGAGATGTATAGTTGAAGATTACACATTTCCTGATAACGCAGATCCTTAGGTCCTACTGCAGACAGTAGGAAAAACCTACATTTTAAAGTGGATTATTAGACAAACACCGACGATCAATATTTTTGTAAACAAATAACTTAACTTGTAACATAAACATTTTAATGACAGTTTGAAACCAGCTGTATGTTAAACCAGCACTGAAACTACTTTAAATGTTAGCGTCGGCTGCTAGACTTTTAAAACATTAAAACTTGGCCTAATTAATTAAAAACTGAAACCCGAAACAAAAGTTATGGCTTCGAGATTCCCTTCCTTACAAAATTATCTTTTTTACAATCATGAAAATCCGTCAAATGGTTGATTATGAATCATGAAATAAAAAAAACCCTGTAACGTTTTAATAAATAAAATTATTATATTATTCACAAACATTATAAACGTTTGACATTTTATTTCAAGTGATGTATGTGTCATACTGTAAAATAAATTATATTAGTTTGCATTTACTTTTTCTATACTTTACACATAAACACATATTCCTACACATATCCCTAAATATTGCTTGGTAAATTGAGGGATCGTTTTATTTTTACAAGAATTCTAGTACCAGATAACGAAGTTACAGATGTATTTTATACTCTACAATCACCAAATAAACCTAAGAAGAACAAACTATTAAGTAGCAATTTACAACTAGAATAAACATTAAAACATAAAATTTGATCTTATATTTCAATAAAACAAACATTAATGCAAATCACAATTTTTAGAGATTTTTTGTTCATTCTCACCGTAACTTTAATAGCTTGGTGTGAGTTTGAGTTTACCGAATTTGATCAAAATATCCATAAAGGAGCAAACTACTACAGATTACCTGCTCTCCATAACATATGAATTTCGTCCTACTAAATGGTTTGAAAAGAAATTGAGAACTTTTATGTTTCAGAGATAAAATATGGTATAAGCTAATTTTTACTCCATGAAACTCTATTCCCATATACAATTAAAAATAAGTGGAATTATCATAGCATTGGCCTTTTTGAACCTTTAAATTTAGTATTACATTACATCTATTTCCATAGTCCAATCATGCTGATTCGCAAACTTTTTTGAATAAAATGTAGGTTTGGAGTTTAGACGTTTGTATCAAAATAACATCACAATCAGATTTTCACTTACTCTTTACCATGATTAAACTGCCTTTAATAACATTAGTATATGTTTTGTTTGTAGCAGAGCCGTCTTTATAAAATGCGAGGCCTGGGGCAATACATAATTGCGAGGCCTGGGGCAATACATAATTGCGAGGCCTTGTTTAACCAAGCTCACCGGGGGGTGTGGGGGGTACGGAGTACCCCCCATCTGAGAGGGGGGTCCGGGGTTCCCCCCCCGGGAAATTTTTGTAAAATTATACTTGTAAAGTCGTCATTTTAAGCACTTTGACGAAAAAAATGAATATTTTACACTCTGAAAATGGGCGTGAATATTATTGCTAATTACACATATTATTGTTCCAATTCCAAAGTGGATATCATAAATATTGCACACAAAATTCTTTACAATCATTAATTTAAAAAAATTAACACTTCTCCTTTACTGTGGATTGTGAATTGAATTAACACTTTGTAAATTAAACAAAGTGGCGGGACGACAATTAATAGTAAATGCTTGTAGGCTATCTTGTTTATTTATTTTTTGTCAAGTTAGGTTTATTGTGTTTTCGGCAGTTGGTCTGGCGGTTGGAAGGGTGTTTTAAAGGTAAAAAATATTACATAAATAATAGTCAATGAGATACTTGCAAATTCGTCATTTTAAGCATTTTGATGAAACAAATGAATCTTTTACACTCTGTAAATGGCCGTTAATATTATAGCTAATTGCACATATTATTGTTCCAATTCCAAAGTGGATATCATAAATATTGTCCACGAAGTTCTTTACAATAATTAATGAAAAAATGAACACTTCTCTTCACTGTGGATTGTTGTCCCGTCACTTTGTAAATAGTAAATGCTCATAGGCTAACTTGTTTACGTACTTTTTGTCAAGATAGGTTTATTGTGTTTTCGGCAGTTGGTCTGTAATGGGGGTTTTAAAGGTAAAAAATATTACCTATAGTTGTCAATGAGTTTTTAATAATAAATTAAAAGAGGTAGTATCATTACAGTGTAATTGATTCACAGTATTACTTTTTACTTTAATGACAAATATTGTCATAGGTTTATGTTTATTACGAAATGCGAGTAGTTTACAGTCAGTCTTATCCACGCTGATTATCCATTCAATCCAGTAAACATTTACATCTGTAAATAAATTGAACTTAATTAATCATACAATAGAAGTTTAATGGCACCACCAGTAAGAGTAAGCGTATGACTCACTCACATTCACCGGGGTGGCTGCCGCGAGGCTCGGGGTCCGTCATCGCCGCCAAGCTGTCAAACGTTGTTTGATATTCTTTTGTGCTTTAAATGTTGTGTTGTTCGTAGGTTTTTAATCGATACAACAATTGATATAGGTTAATTCATAATAAATAAGACATATTTTAGGCACATGTATCTGTCTGTCCTTTATTTTTTTATTTTCATTCCAAAACATTAACTTATTTCTAGCGATAGTAAGGCCTCGCCGGGTAGGCCTCGCTCAGGCCTCGCTGCGCGAGGCCTTCTCCAACGCGAGGCCTGGAGCGGTCGCTCCACCCTAAGGACGGCGCTGGTTTGTAGAGAGGTTCCCAGAAAGCTGCAACAGAACAACAGTCATAGAGAGGTCCACTTCAACATGGAAGACCACAGACATGAGGACTGCACTCCACCCAAGTCTAGGGTGAAGGCATTCAGCAGCAAGGGTCAACTGCTGGGCAGGTAACTAGACATTCTATCCAATGCTAAAATAAACTCAGTTGAATTGCCTCCGATTAGTGAGTTAATGGCTCAGTCGGTAGCACCAGGGCCGGGGATAGTAGCTAGTAAGGGCTAGACCACTCCACCGGTGTACCTGCATCCCGCTCGATTCACCCTGTGACGTCACGTGGTTGTCAGCCGCGCCTGTATTGTAGTTAAGATGGCAATGCTCGGCAGCGCGCGCGCCCTGTTTTGAAATAAAATTCCCGCTAAATTTGAAGACCTATTTTATTAACCTTTGGCATTCTTAAAGGAAATTAAATTGTCTATGGAATGGTGTAACTTGTTCATATGAATATTATTATTTACTATTTATTATTGAAGATCAAAGTACGAAGAATTGTACTAGACTTTGAACATGTGGTTACTTTAATTATGTTTTTGACTACACTCTCCACAATACAATAATTAAGTCACTAGCCCAAAAGTAAATATGGTAGGTTTTTAATGTGAGTAGTAGTAGAATTCTAAGAACTGCATTAGAATAGAGATTAATTGTCGTACAATATCAATTGGTAGCAAATTTACTCGTAAGATAAATTTATGCAGAGTTTTATTATAGCTGTAAGACTTCCGATTAAAGTACCGGTATCATTGAAAAGTTACCTCTTGTCAGGAGCGCAAAATTTGTGAGAAATTTTGTTCTCCGTACACTGAACTTTGTTGTAGTTCTCTAGGGAGTTTTCCATCTAATTCTGTTTCTGTAGTGAATTTAATTGTTGGATATATTCCGTTGATTTGGTCAGTAAATATTTTTATGTCTTGATTTTTGTCAAAGACAGCAAATATGTCATCAACGTACCTAATCCAAATTCAGGGTAAATATGGTAATGACTGTTTTGCTAAGATCTCAAAATAGCTCATAAATATATCAGCGACAAAACATGAAAGAGGATTTCCCATTGCCGTGCCATTAGTCTACACCAACACCATATGAATAATTTTCCATTAGGTCAGGTCTCGGGCCTAGGTCTTACCATGAGACCTACGGTAATAGCTACTTCCCTATAGGAAAATTCGCTAAAAGATGCAAATTATTTATTTGCCAATTATAATAGATTATATATATTCTACAAATCTATTATACTAATTCCGTAAGGAATTTCTTGTGCACAGCAAAACTCTTTTATTTATGAACCGATTTTGATGATTAAGGTGTCAAATTAAAGGGAATTCTCTGTAGAAGTCATGGAATAACTTTTGTTACGCTCAGTTCAATGTGCTTTGCTCCATTGGACTTTGAAGTTTTCATGTATTTTAAATATACAAGTCAAAATTTGTTAAGATTACCTAACATATGATTCATTTCTTAAAAGAAAACATCTGTCTTCATAAAAATAGCCTGTTTCCCTTCTGTCATTTTAATATTTACTTTTTTTGGTTACCTATCAGTTTAATTTAAAATACAATGATAACTTATGAGATGGGATAGTTTATTTATGCATTTTCATTCAGAGGGAGTAATACCTAAGGGAGTATGATTTATCTCTGGTAATACCCAGTCTATTTAATTATGTGATTGTATTTTATTTTCAGATAATGGTGTGTTTAACGTTTTCATAGTTATTTTTATGTGTTGTGTTTTCCAATTTTTAATTTTGATTACGGTATCATAAAATTCTACCTAGAAAAAACAATCCCGTGTTTGCGATTCGGCGACGTATTAACAACAGAGATGGTATGATAATAAATTGTGAAAAGTTACCTATGCTGGTTTTTGAAGTTCAAAGAAATGTTATGTGACCGCTTGATTTTTTTATTTTTTATTGCACGGTCAGATGCTGTCACAAAACAGACTATTTTGACTTAGGAGATCTTAACGTACAGTACAAAACAGATTTAAATTGCAAATAAAATTAAATGAGCCAGTCTCAGTCTCCAGAATAAAATCCAATAGTAACGAAGCTAAATATTTGTAAAATAATATCAATTATCAAACAATCAATTACGGTATCAATATTATAGGATGAAGCTTCTATGTTTAATAAGTATGCTTTATCGTCTGTAGAATGATTACTGCGAGATATCGCCAGAAGAGAAGGCCAAGCAAAGCCTTTTGGCGGAAAGGTTTTGTATGTAATTTCCGGCAATGAGCTACCATAGGCTCTGGTGAGAGTCGCTGTGAAATGGTAGAAAATTCAATAATTAACTTATATCACCTTTATGGTCAATGTTTAAAAATATTTCACTTGCTAAAAACATGAGAGCAAATCCAAGGGAATCAATATTTGCTGAATATCTTTTACGAATAAGGAATGGCCAAGAGAGCTACCTTAATGGTCTTTGTGAGACATTGATAAGTCTTCCACCACAATGTATTGCTAATAAAATAATCATTGACGAAATCTTCAGTGAAAGATTCTCTGAAAATGCTTAAAAAAAGACAACATTCATGCAATAATTTAACCAAAGAATGAACATGGTGAATCTATATAAATAAAATTAGAGTTTTGTCTGTACATTGCTTAGAATAATGAACTTTTTGGTTATTTTTACATTTCATAGGTCAGAGAAACCGAATCAAACCTTATCTCAATTTCTGTCTGTCTGTCTGTCTGTCTGTCTGTCTGTCTATCTGTCATTCTCTTGGTAACGCTAAAATACGCACTTTATTACAACTACTCCTCAATAACTATAGCACTGTCCCGCCTGAAACTTATTTTCCAAATACTATACATATATGAGATGGTTTTAGACGTATTTCATCGAATATGAGACAGTTAGATATTTAACAGTAAACCCTTGAAAATCAAGTTTTTGTCGATTTTTGACGTGGAATTTCTGGAAGCCCATGTTAACCTTATGAGAAATGAAATTATTGAATCTTAACAGCTGTTTCAATTAAACAAGTTGGTTCTGTTCTGTGATGTTCAATAGCATTAAAGTTACAAGGATTACCAACAGGGTGCAGCACTAGCACTATTATTTCTTTTACATTTATGACAACAGCTAATTTGCAACCTGGAGGCGAGTGAGCGTAGCGAACGAGCTAACCTGAAGGCAAGTGAGCGTAGCGAACGAGCTAACCTGAAGGAAAGTGAGCGCAGCGAACGAGCTCCAACATACAGGTGAGTGAGCGTAGCGAACGAACTTCAACCAGGACGTGATTGAGCCATGCAAACGAGATCAGATAGTAAAAATAAAAGTAAGCCTACCGTTATAGGATCGACCGGCAGACACAGAGGTAATTTAACCTTTTATTGATTGTCATACCGATCCGGAACAACAAAAAACAACATAAAATGAAGCTATGTATAATAGTTTGGCCAGCATATCTTAAAATATGCAAACCAACTGCTGTTCGTTATATAAGAAGGTTTCAACTGAATATTATAAGATCCCCGTGCGTAGAACGGGTACACAGCTAGTTAATAATAAAATAGCTAAGCAACTAAATAATGACAGCAGAGTTTACTACTGAGTGGACACTTTGATTAAAGAAGAGGAAGACCGGTTACATGTCCTTGATAAATTTCTCCACACTTTAGCACCAAGTGGTTATGTCTCACAAGTTATGTTTATAAAAAGGTGGAATTGTAATTTTGCCAAGAAATTTAAATCCATAAAAAGGACAGGTTAATGGAACCAGAATAATGGTGAAAGAGATTCATGACAAAGTCTAAAATATGAAAATGATTACTGGAAGTTCGGCTGGACAGCGAGTAGTATTATTCCAATTAAGTTTAGAATCGTCAGAGGGAAATTTTCTCCTGAAATTCAAACATCTGCAGTTCCAATGCCGAATTGCTTTTGCCATGACCATCACAAAAATTCAAGGACAGACACTTGAAAAAGTTGGTCTTATCTGCCATAGCCCTGCTTTGAGCATTGGGCATTGTACGTACCACGCTTTTGATTAACTAAAAATAATGGTGAAAAAACAACGAAACCAAGGTCTTCTGGTTAAATACGTTATTAGAGTGTTTGCGAAAAAAATCTTATGGAAAGAGTCACCTTTAACATGTCAAAAGTAAGATGTAAAATGTTAACTGTTCTGTCAGGCGGTATTGTGTACTCTGTTAAAACCTTTATTTAAACAGTAGCCTATTGACTTTTGATTTATTATGTAGTAACAAGATAAAACTGTATTTAAATTATTAAAATTACATGAAAATGTAGTTAATGTTATTAACTGGAAACAACTAGTTTACTATTATTTTATTAATAAAAATATCTTATGTGTTTCAAAATACATAATTTTTTTTAATATTTAATAGGAAAAATATACATATAAAATATGTCTATTTTATATATTCAAAACTTATATTTCATTGATATTTTGCATTGCTTTTTGATAATATTTTAAATATATATTTGAATATATCAAACTATTATTAAAGATATATTATTTATATATTTTATTCGAGGTTCTATCAAATACAACTTTGAATATATAAAATATTTATAAAATACATATTTGTGCTACTAGGGCTAGGTTAAAAACCTCCATAAGACAAATTTGTTTGTGACATGGGCTAGGACTGATTAAATGTCTATACTGTATAATGAATATTCTTAGCAAAAACCTCTACAAGACAAATGCGACCTCTATTAGACGAATTTCTTATTATGTTAACCTCCATAGTATTAGTTTTTCAAACAAACAGAAGCTTGTCTCAACATGAAACCCCCACCCATCCCTCTTCCTTTTATAGAGGTTATCTCAGAGCGAGGAGAAACCGCTATAAGACGAATAACGGCAGTATTAAACCTCGATAAAGCAAACCTCTTTATTAAGAATACCTCGATAATAGGATTTTTCCCCCTACCTCTTGAAATTTGTCATAGAGAGGTTACACTGTACACCGATTAATTGAGATTTTCATTACTAACCAAAATTTTTGTGTGCTGATGTACACACATTCGAACATCAAGAAAAGAAGTATCAACACGTGTATACCACTTAAGAAACTTATATCTTAAACGATTGTTTGCTGGAAAAGTATTTCCCAAACATGAGCTAACATTGTATGGCAAAAACTTGTACTTGTAAACATATATTGCATTTACCACAAAACTTGATTATTATAACAAGTGTTTGAGATGTATAGTTGAAGATTACACATTTCCTGATAACGCAGATCCTTAGGTCCTACTGCAGACAGTAGGAAAAACCTACATTTTAAAGTGGATTATTAGACAAACACCGACGATCAATATTTTTGTAAACAAATAACTTAACTTGTAACATAAACATTTTAATGACAGTTTGAAACCAGCTGTATGTTAAACCAGCACTGAAACTACTTTAAATGTTAGCGTCGGCTGCTAGACTTTTAAAACATTAAAACTTGGCCTAATTAATTAAAAACTGAAACCCGAAACAAAAGTTATGGCTTCGAGATTCCCTTCCTTACAAAATTATCTTTTTTACAATCATGAAAATCCGTCAAATGGTTGATTATGAATCATGAAATAAAAAAAACCCTGTAACGTTTTAATAAATAAAATTATTATATTATTCACAAACATTATAAACGTTTGACATTTTATTTCAAGTGATGTATGTGTCATACTGTAAAATAAATTATATTAGTTTGCATTTACTTTTTCTATACTTTACACATAAACACATATTCCTACACATATCCCTAAATATTGCTTGGTAAATTGAGGGATCGTTTTATTTTTACAAGAATTCTAGTACCAGATAACGAAGTTACAGATGTATTTTATACTCTACAATCACCAAATAAACCTAAGAAGAACAAACTATTAAGTAGCAATTTACAACTAGAATAAACATTAAAACATAAAATTTGATCTTATATTTCAATAAAACAAACATTAATGCAAATCACAATTTTTAGAGATTTTTTGTTCATTCTCACCGTAACTTTAATAGCTTGGTGTGAGTTTGAGTTTACCGAATTTGATCAAAATATCCATAAAGGAGCAAACTACTACAGATTACCTGCTCTCCATAACATATGAATTTCGTCCTACTAAATGGTTTGAAAAGAAATTGAGAACTTTTATGTTTCAGAGATAAAATATGGTATAAGCTAATTTTTACTCCATGAAACTCTATTCCCATATACAATTAAAAATAAGTGGAATTATCATAGCATTGGCCTTTTTGAACCTTTAAATTTAGTATTACATTACATCTATTTCCATAGTCCAATCATGCTGATTCGCAAACTTTTTTGAATAAAATGTAGGTTTGGAGTTTAGACGTTTGTATCAAAATAACATCACAATCAGATTTTCACTTACTCTTTACCATGATTAAACTGCCTTTAATAACATTAGTATATGTTTTGTTTGTAGCAGAGCCGTCTTTATAAAATGCGAGGCCTGGGGCAATACATAATTGCGAGGCCTTGTTTAACCAAGCTCACCGGGGGGTGTGGGGGGTACGGAGTACCCCCCATCTGAGAGGGGGGTCCGGGGTTCCCCCCCCGGGAAATTTTTGTAAAATTATACTTGTAAAGTCGTCATTTTAAGCACTTTGACGAAAAAAATGAATATTTTACACTCTGAAAATGGGCGTGAATATTATTGCTAATTACACATATTATTGTTCCAATTCCAAAGTGGATATCATAAATATTGCACACAAAATTCTTTACAATCATTAATTTAAAAAAATTAACACTTCTCCTTTACTGTGGATTGTGAATTGAATTAACACTTTGTAAATTAAACAAAGTGGCGGGACGACAATTAATAGTAAATGCTTGTAGGCTATCTTGTTTATTTATTTTTTGTCAAGTTAGGTTTATTGTGTTTTCGGCAGTTGGTCTGGCGGTTGGAAGGGTGTTTTAAAGGTAAAAAATATTACATAAATAATAGTCAATGAGATACTTGCAAATTCGTCATTTTAAGCATTTTGATGAAACAAATGAATCTTTTACACTCTGTAAATGGCCGTTAATATTATAGCTAATTGCACATATTATTGTTCCAATTCCAAAGTGGATATCATAAATATTGTCCACGAAGTTCTTTACAATAATTAATGAAAAAATGAACACTTCTCTTCACTGTGGATTGTTGTCCCGTCACTTTGTAAATAGTAAATGCTCATAGGCTAACTTGTTTACGTACTTTTTGTCAAGATAGGTTTATTGTGTTTTCGGCAGTTGGTCTGTAATGGGGGTTTTAAAGGTAAAAAATATTACCTATAGTTGTCAATGAGTTTTTAATAATAAATTAAAAGAGGTAGTATCATTACAGTGTAATTGATTCACAGTATTACTTTTTACTTTAATGACAAATATTGTCATAGGTTTATGTTTATTACGAAATGCGAGTAGTTTACAGTCAGTCTTATCCACGCTGATTATCCATTCAATCCAGTAAACATTTACATCTGTAAATAAATTGAACTTAATTAATCATACAATAGAAGTTTAATGGCACCACCAGTAAGAGTAAGCGTATGACTCACTCACATTCACCGGGGTGGCTGCCGCGAGGCTCGGGGTCCGTCATCGCCGCCAAGCTGTCAAACGTTGTTTGATATTCTTTTGTGCTTTAAATGTTGTGTTGTTCGTAGGTTTTTAATCGATACAACAATTGATATAGGTTAATTCATAATAAATAAGACATATTTTAGGCACATGTATCTGTCTGTCCTTTATTTTTTTATTTTCATTCCAAAACATTAACTTATTTCTAGCGATAGTAAGGCCTCGCCGGGTAGGCCTCGCTCAGGCCTCGCTGCGCGAGGCCTTCTCCAACGCGAGGCCTGGAGCGGTCGCTCCACCCTAAGGACGGCGCTGGTTTGTAGAGAGGTTCCCAGAAAGCTGCAACAGAACAACAGTCATAGAGAGGTCCACTTCAACATGGAAGACCACAGACATGAGGACTGCACTCCACCCAAGTCTAGGGTGAAGGCATTCAGCAGCAAGGGTCAACTGCTGGGCAGGTAACTAGACATTCTATCCAATGCTAAAATAAACTCAGTTGAATTGCCTCCAATTACTGAGTTAATGGCTCAGTCGGTAGCACCAGGGCCGGGGATAGTAGCTAGTAAGGGCTAGACCACTCCACCGGTGTACCTGCATCCCGCTCGATTCACCCTGTGACGTCACGTGGTTGTCAGCCGCGCCTGTATTGTAGTTAAGATGGCAATGCTCGGCAGCGCGCGCGCCCTGTTTCGAAATAAAATTCCCGCTAAATTTGAAGACCTATTTTATTAACCTCTGGCATTCTTAAAGGAAATTAAATTGTCTATAGAATGGTGTAACTTGTTCATATGAATATTATTATTTACTATTTATTATTGAAGATCAAAGTACAAAGAATTGTACTAGACTTTGAACATGTGGTTACTTTAATTATGTTTTTGAAAAGAATATGAAATATTTAACAAAATAAACAATTTATTTGTGTTCCCTAAGGGTTTCTAGGAAAAAAACATATAGGCATATTTGGCTTTTTTCTATAGTAATATTTCTATTCAAAATTATATTCAAGTTTATTTTTGTAAAAAAAATACAACCGACTACAACCGCTCTAAAAAAATGAATTAATTTCAATAAAGTCAACTTTTGTATTAGTCAAGCTAACGTATTTCAAGTCGGCACGGCTCTATCTGCAAATATGAATAAAATAAAAGATTGAGAACATAAATATATAAATACCCCCGCCGCAGCAAACCTGCCGACTAAGCGAATTTCCATTTGTCTGAATTTATTTTCAGTTAAATATATTTTAGTAACATTAGGTTTAACGAGTACCTAGGTTTGCTGCTACAAGGAAACTAATAAAGTGTGTTTTTGAGTAAAATATTGATAGTTTAGTACAAAAAAAATAAATTTGCCAAGTTTGATCAAAATATATCCATTATCAAGCAAACTACAACATTTGACAATATTCTCCATAAGAATAACATGGGAATTTTAAATTTACAATTTTTAAAATTTTCTCCGTTACTAATGATTGAACAAAAATACTTTTATATACTAAATTATTTGTTTTTTTAAGCTCTTTAAAAAGGTCTAAAGAGAAATCGGGAAATTTTGTGTTTTGAGGGTCAAAAGTGAGAAAAACCCGTTTTTACCCCATAAAACCCCCCGTAAAGCCCCGTTCCCATGGTCCGATCGTGCTGGTTCGCGAACTCATTCAAGTTTATCCCGCTTTACACCTTTAAACCAAATTTCATCAAAATTGGACAAAAATTACTCAAGTTATCGCGTTCACGGACGTATATATATATATATATATATAAGTCTATATATATATATATATACATACTAGTGGCCTGTAGGGGCCATAGCCCCTAATTTAGACTACAAAAAAAACTATATATAAAAAGACAAATATTCTAAATATATTTCTAAAATTATCGGTTTTATGTTACTTAAAATTAACAGTGTTTCTTGTTTTATATCTTGGTTTTCCTTCCGTTGGAGTCGTATATTAGTTGCTTCTAATGTCAATGAAATAGCCTACAATTGTAAAATAATAATTAAATTAATAACACAACTATTACAAATGGAAACGTGCACACGGTTTGGCCTGAGCCCGGAGAACGACGAATCAGAACTGAAATCATACAGCCAAACATAGCACATCTTTTCTAGTTTAAAATTGAAGATTTTATTTGTAATCTTACGAATTCTGTTATAGTTTTCATTTTGAGAACCAAATGTAAAGGTTAAAATTATTATTAATTATTATGAAGGCAACTCCCCAATTGGCGGTGGTAAGTCAAATATATCTATGAATTTGTCCCTGAATTTTAAGACAGTAAGGCCAATTTCCCGGAATCTCTTTTTGTGTAACGGAAAGCGACGCAAAAGCCATTGCACTGTTGTATTACCTTATGTTTTTATGAAGTTTGAATCATGTAAAAACAGTTAGTTCGTCATTTACTTGTGGTTGTGGCATGTCCGTGGCAACATGCGTTGAAATGTCCATTTGTGGCCTCCTCTGCGAAGTGAAATGCGCCACAATGCATGCAAGTGATGTTAAGAGGACCTAGATTGGAGAAACAACTCAACTCATTTTCCAACGTTCTTCTAAAGACAGGTTGTAAAACAGATTCTGGATTTCTTTCACAGTTAGGCCCTACATGACGTTCTCTTTTGCACTTCTTAAGTCTGTTGAATTCCTGGACATTCTTCCACGTCTTGCAGGTCTTCCCCTAGCTTGTCTAGTTACTTCACTCATTATAAAAACGGAAAACAAAAAAAATTAAACACAATTCATTTTGAAACATTATTTACCAACATTGACTTTCGGAATAAATGTAAACATTGCAAATAAATAAGCAACAGCTGATAGAATGCAGACGTTTTTCAGTCCCCATGCATGTCTTATGGTGGATATTTTACGTTATATCTAGTTTTCTGGTAACTTTATGGGAATTCTACTATTTTTCCCGAGTCCCTGGGGCCAAGACCTTTAATTTAAGACCCCTACCACTTTTCTGCGACTTACCAGACGTCCACAATTTTCTGGTAAAAATTTGGTCTTACAGAATTATATATATAGATATAAAAATTTGAACGAATGGTGTTTTTGGCCTCTGGGGACATCAAAATGAAAAAGTAAATCGGTCCCGGGTCTAGGTCTTACCGTGCCACCTACGGTAATAGCTACTTCCCTATAGGGAAATTCGCTAAAAACATACTGAACTGTTTTGTTTATATATCAAAGGAAGTATTTGTTGAAATTAAAGAAAATAACTACTGTTGATACAGGAAAGAATAATTGTATTTAGACATTTTGCTATGTTCACATCTACCTACAAACTCATATTATTTGTTTATATGACAAAGCTGCTTTAATAATAATAGCACAGCTGTAAAAATAACATAGAGGAAAATTATTCAAATGACAGATAATTACATATCTTAACACTTTCCCTCATTTAAAGAATTTTTAAAGTCACTAGTTAAGTCCCAGAGCTTGCCACAAAGTCCTAAGTCTTGGCTTGTGAAGAGGTTTGGTCATACAATCTGCCAGTTGGAACTCAGCTGGTACATGGTTAACCTTGACTTGTCCTTCCGCTACAAGCTCCCTGATGAAGAAATGTCTAATTTTGATATGCTTTGTTCTTCTGTGGTTTTCTGGGTTTTCCGCTAACCGAGTTGTTGCTTCGTTGTCGATGTTGAGAACTGGCACACTCTTCAGTGAAGTTATCTCTTCCAAAAGTCTTTTCAGCCAAACGATTTCAGGACAGGCTTCGCTGGCCGCAACAATTTCGGCTTCAGTGCTTGAGATTGCCACACTCGATTGTTTCTGACTTAGCCAGGCGATTACTCCTCCTCCAAAATTGCAGACTACTCCTGTTGTAGAATGTCCGGTCGATGAGTCTCCAGCATGGTCAGCATCGCTGAAGCACTCCAAAACATGGATGTTTTCTTTGGACTGGTATTCTATTCCGTAGTCGATCGTTCCTTTCAGATATCGCAGTATCCTCTTCACCCTCATGAAGTCTTCGTGAGACGGGTTTTCAAGAGTACGCGATGCTTTACTCACAGCATAGGCTATATCTGGCCTAGTTGCAGTCATCAGGTACATCAGAGCACCTACAGCTTCTCTGTATGAAAACTTGTCTCTTGAGCTCTCTGCTTTCCCTGTTGGTTGCGTTTCGTTCTCTTTCACGATGGGTGTTGGAGCTGGTTTACAGTCACTCATCTGAAAACGTTCAAGAATTTTCTTTGTATACGCTTTCTGCGATATTCTAACATTTCCGTCAATTTTCTGTTCTATTTCTAGGCCTAAATAGTAAGATGCTGGTTTGGACGTGATTTTGAACTCCTTCATCAGATGATCCATGAAGTTCTGAAGCATTCCCTTGTTGTTTGTCGCTATAAGACCGTCATCTACGTACAGCGCTACAATCAGTTTACTTTTTCCATCTCCTTTCATGAACAGACACGGATCAGCATCACTTTTCTTGAATCCTTGAAGTTCCATGAATTTGTTGAATCTGGTACTCCAACAGCGAGGTGCCTGTTTCAAACCGTAGAGACTCTTGTTCAGCCTGCACACACGATCTGTACCATCCTTGTATCCTTCAGGCTGCGTCATGTAAATAACTTCATCGACTTGGCCGTATAAGAATGCGGTTGATACATCGAATTGTGTCAAAATCAAATGTTCCACTGCTGCTACACTTAGTAGGGATCTGATTGTGCTGAGCCTTGCTACTGGGCTGAAAGTCTGGTTAAAGTCCACTCCTTTCTTCTGCGAGGAACCTCTAACCACCAACCTTGCTTTAAACCTGTCAACTGAGCCGTCAGGATTAGTTTTTACTTTGTATAACCACTTGCATGTTATACATTTCTTTCCTGCAGGCAGTTTCTCCAGGGTCCAAGTTTGGTTTTCCTTGTGCGACTTCATTTCACTTTCCATAGCTTCTTTCCAGTATGAAGCTTTTTCACTTCGTATTGCCTCCTTGTATGACTCAGGCTCATTCAGTTCTTGAACATTAGTAACTGCAGTCATGATGTAGTCGTTGAACCTCTTCGGAACATTGAGTTCTGATCTGTTTCGTAGATCATAACTGTTCGATCTCTCAGTTAGGTCAGCTTCCTCCTTGTCTTCATTTTCTTCCGGTTCTTGCCCCACATTATCTTCAACGTCGTATTTTAAGCCTCGGCAGTCGTTTTCTTGACTCATTTCACTTGGCAAAGGGATTCGGTATTCTTTTCTCTGTAATAAGGGCTCTTCGTTGAAAATGACATCTCTCGATCTCACCAGTGTGTTGGTTTCTTTGACCCAGATACGATAGCCACATTCATCGTACCCAACAAGTATTCCTTTCTGTGCTTTCTTCTGCATCTTTTTCCTCTTTTGTTTTGGGACATGCGGATAACAGACACTTCCGATTATCCTTAGATGCTTGATACTAGGTCTTTTTCCAAGCCATAGTTCGTAGGGGGTTTTGTCATCTTCTGAAGAAGGGCCGGTGTGATTGAGGATGTAAGCAGCACAGTTGATCAGTTCTGCCCATAAGCCTTGTGGAAGGGACTCATGGCAGTGCATCATAGCACGAGCTGTTTCCACAATTGTTCGATTTTCCCTCTCACTGCAACCGTTCTGCTCCGGTGTGTAGGGCATCGTTAGGGTGTGCTTGATTCCTCTGTTCTGTAACATAATCTTAACTACGCCATTATCAAACTCTCCGCCATTGTCACTCACCACTTCTTTAACTACATGTCCAGTAGTTTTAGCTGCTGCCAGAAATAGTTTAAGTTTTTAAGAAACTTCCGATTTCTCCTTCATAAAGTGAACATGTCGATACCTAGAATAGTCATATTTAAACAAAACATAGTACTTGTAGCCTGACATTGAAGAATGGAAAGGTCCACACACGTCCGTATGAATTCGTTCCCCAGGTGTTGTGGCTCGTTCTCTAGTGCCAAATTTTAACCTGTGACTCTTTCCATAGACACAGCCTTCACATAACTCTTTATCCCCAGTTAGTTTTATTCCCAGCTCTCTCTCAATGGTCGCTTTCACATGTTTCGTGTTTTGATGCCCCATCCGCTCATGATACACCTGTAGAAGATTGTCATTATTGATTAGTAAGTTTACTTCGATAGGTTCGCTTGGTTTTACATTTTGGACCTTCAGCTTATACAGACCTCCTTTTCTGCATCGGTAACCCACCAAGACAACTTCTCCATTCACCTCAAGTTGACATGTTTCCGTTGTTGACGTGAACCGACTTTGTAAATGCAAGTCTTGAGACGCAAGTACTGAAAATAAATTCCTTTTTATTCCCAGTACATACCACACGTTCTCTAGTGTAACTCTCTTAGTCTTCCCATTTACCTCCACATCAAGTTCAATGGTTCCTTTTCCCAGCGCATTGATGGACTCTCCATTGGCTGTCATCACTGACTCCTGGTTGACGAACGGCTGAAACTTCTGAAACAAGTCTTCTCTATGCGTGACATGATTAGTGGCACCGTTGTCTACATACCAACAGTCACTGTTGTTTTCAGTCATCATTACATCAACTGACAAAGTCATATTTGAACTAGGTTTACTATCCTCTGTGTGGGTGGTTTAGGCGGCCTCCCATCTGCTTTCCATTTTGTACACTGCCTAACTTTGTGTCCTATCTTTTGACAATAATGACATGTAACTTTCTTATTAGTTCCCTTAGTTTCTAAACTAGCTTTGTTTTTGGTTCTAGATTCCGATTTTACCCATAGGCCTAACGCTTCTTGACCCTGAGATTTACGCCCTAATGCTTTTTCGTATGCACACAGTTGAGTGGTTAGGTTTTCAATAGTCCTTTCAGACTTTGCCATCATCATCCAACTAGACTTGAACGCAAAATAGTCCTCAGGAAGCATTCCCAAGATTTTACAGATCAAAAACAAATCTGGTAAAACAAATTTGTTGTCCCCTTCTTTAGATATTTCAAGTTTCAAACTATTCCATAAGTTCTTAAGCTTAGATAGGTTACCAGAAATATCAATGCTAGGATCCCGGTTGAAACTGAAAAATTCTTGACATATTTCGTAGGCTTTGTCCTTAGACACCCCATCAAACAACCTATGCAGCTCTAGCCACACCTCTCTTGCATTTGTAAAACGCATTACCTTTTCTAGGGTTACATCTGACAGATTGGTAGTAATAATTATCATAGCTGTACTGTCAGCCTTCCTGAACTTATCTAAATCTGCCTCATACTTAGCTACCTCTGCTGTTTTTTATTATTATTATTTATTTCCAAAAAAATACAAATTTACAACACATACAATTCCAAGCCACAAAAGCCAATTTGGCTTGTCTGCAGCAATTATTCTAATTTTGTTATTTCACAGTGCTTTTTTTACAATCAGTCTTTGTTACACAATCAGTCTTTTGTTTCCCTTGTTTTTCTGTAAGAATTCAATAATATACCAAACCAATCATAGAATTTAAAGTTGTCAGATTTTAACAATTATTAATAAACAATGAATTAAGTAACAGTAATAAACGAATTTAAAACTATTAAAAAAGTAACAATAATAAACATTTGAAACATTGAACAGTGAATAATCTATTAAAAAAGTAACAATAATAAACATTTGGAACAGTGAACAACAATGATAAAATATGAAACACAGTTATCTTTAACTCAGATCTAGATATAAATTCTTTAACTTCTTCTTTAAAACTCCACAGTAACATATATTCCTCAGCTGTACTGGTAAACTGTTTAACAAGAATGGAACTAAATATTCCCTTGTTCTTTTAGAATATTTATTTGTTGTTGACGGATCTTCATTCTGTGTAGGTGCTTGTAGATTTCCCTCTACGACATCCATTACTCCAGACTGACTCCTCAGCAGAATACTAATCTTGAACTTCCAGGTAGCCCAATTATCTTTCCCATTTAGAAGTCCAATTTGCACTTTTGTAAACTCCATATTATTATTTAGCCTTTTCCAGTAAATAATATGTTACAAAAATAAATAAATACTTCACTATCAACAGTTTGTTATATTAACGAAACCAAAGCTCTGCTACCATGTTGAAATTAAAGAAAATAACTACTGTTGATACAGGAAAGAATAATTGTATTTAGACATTTTGCTATGTTCACATCTACCTACAAACTAATATTATTTGTTTATATGACAAAGCTGCATTAATAATAATAGCACAGCTGTAAAAATAACATAGAGGAAAATTATTCAAATGACAGATAATTACGTATCTTAACAGTATTTTCTTGTATTTTATGTTTACTTCAGAATGAATGCATTAAGAAAATAACACACACAAATGTTCTATATGTATAGGATAATAATTTATTGTGATATTATGATATATAGGATCTTTTTAGATACTCACTAATAACACTATAAGATTATAATTTACTATCTTATAAAAAAAAGTTAAGATGGTATCTGCCGATCTTTGGCTACAGTAATAAAATAACACCCAACGCATAACTATGAAAAAGACATGCAGATTAACACCTTTAGTTATAGATTACACCTGCAATGTGGACATCGTCTTTAAATTTTGTATCAAAAATCATCATAGACCCGTGCCGACTTAAAATACGTGAGCTCAACTAATACAAAAGTTTACTTTGTTGAAATTACGTCATTCTTTTTAGAGCGTTTGAAGTTGGTTGTATTTTTTTTACAAAAAAATAAATTATAGTTAAACTAAGACAATAAAAAGTAAATGGTTTTCTATTCATTACATGCTACCTTTGTTTTATGTTAAAATAATACTAAAAACTTCGAGTAATGTGTAAACACTTACAATTATTTCACAGCATGCATGGACACTTAAACAGCCCTGACATAACATTTCACAAAAAACCTACACTCTAGTTCTAGTTGAACTCCAATGTTGTGGTGAAGAATAAATAAACCTAAGCAAAATATATTAGTTATAGAAAATATTTATTACCAATATTTAATACATCAATACATCGTAATAATGTCATTATTAAATTTTCAAAGTCTTTTCTTACTTGTTGGAATTTGTCCATTTTGTAGCTTTTTTCGTTTCTTTCCTTGTTTGTTTGCCCTTTACCTATACATTTTATTAATCATTAATTATTTGTTTTGTATTTGCATAGGAGTCATATTTGTCTCAGCCCACTTAGTTATAGCTACTTGTTTTTTACAGTTTTTGTTCAAAACACATAGGTACTTTGTAAACACCTACAATTTCAATCGTGCTCTTTAGCTTTTTAGAGCTGCAAGATATTCTTACGTTTTATGCTAGCTAAAACTTTATTTTTTCGTGTAGATAATTTCAGTTGCGATTTTAAGATTACTACTTCAGTTTCTAGTTTTTTATTTATTTCTGTTTTACTTTTACAGTCTTTGCAATTGATCAAATCTGGTATTCCATCGCGATTTATCTTTGTGCCAGTGCCACATTCTCCGGGATTTTACAAACAATAATTTCATAGGAAACAGATAAAAATCATAAACAAACTATCAGTCAGTCACATATTATTTGACTTCAGAACACTTCTAACCACAGCTAACATTAAAACTGAACTACATACTTAGCGCATTGAATGCAAAAAACAAGGGGTTCAGTGCAGAAGCGCTGGGCGAGGCAACCACGTGACGTCACGCGGCCGCCGACCCCCCCACTACCTGGCGCGGCGGCTTCTGTCAAACATCAAAAGAGTGGTCTAGCCCTTACTAGCTACTATCCCCGGCCCTGGGTAGCACGACAGACTACGAATCCATGGCCGCAATGTCATGGGTTCGGATTCTAGTAGGCCTACCTTGCACTTTTTTTCATCAATACAGTTACACTATACTTCTCTCTACTTCAGTCACATGTACCTACTCACCCCTTGCTTTGCTGGATACATTACTTGCACAGGTCCACCTGTGTGGACAGGTAATTGCCAAGTGGAAATTGTTGTTTTCGATAAATTTTTTAACCAAGCCAAACTGACTGAAAGAACATCATATAGCTATAGCACCGATCATGTTATACAAACTAGCCTATTACAGGACTAAGAGAGAAAATAAAAAAAACTTATCTGTAACTCAATCTTGTGAGTGGCTTATTCAGCTGTTCTTTAAAAAAAAATAGGCTACTGCCATAAAGTAAGGATGTATTTCAGTATTCAAGCCAATCATAATAATTATTAAACCTGTAATTTGAATTGACACTACTGTATTAGAATTTTGTAATATTCACTCCGACATAACACTTATGTTACAGCCCGTTGCCCACGACTGTAGACGGTACGACTAAACCGCTAGATGAAAAGGACAAGCTGGCCAATGAGAAGGAAGCAGCTGCTACAGTAGCCTTGGACCAGGCGGCACCGACTACCTCGGTACAGATACACCTGACAGATGGCTCACGCCTGGTGGCCACCTTCAACCACACTCACACTGTCGCCGACATAAGGCGGTACATTGCTACGTATCCTTACTCACTGATGTTGTTTTGATTAGAAGTGTGTAAATGTCTGGGTTTGAGCTTTGAGCCAAACTTAAACTAAGATTTAGCAGAGCCGATTTCCGATTTCTACACACACTACAGTAGACGGGACCAGGCCAAGGTTGGAACGGCCAAAAAGTCAGATATTAAGAGAACATCTTTTTACAAATTGGGAAACCTGGGAGCTATGCATGAACTGTGAAATTTAATCAGGAAAACATGATTTTTGTGCCATTTTGTTGTATTGAATTTAGGACGAATTTATAAGAATTTCCCCTCCAGCTAAGTATTGTACACTTACTAAATTGTTTGAGCCGTTTTTTTTTTTTTTTTTTTTTTTTTTTTTTTGTAAAAATCTGTTTTTCCGGTATTTTATAGAAAATTTTTATTAAAATTTAAAATTTCTAAAAAAAAATTATAAAAACTCTTGGAGATATCCTAGATTAGTAGGTACCCTTATACCAGGGCTAGAGATATACAAGGGCTGGCCCACTCCTCTGATGTTAGCGGCTGCCGCCCGATCCTACTTCCCCTCTCACGCCCCTCCTCAGTGACGTAGCGCTGATACATCGGCGCGTGGCGCGACGGCAGCCTAGCAAAGCAGTGCATACTGCATTAATGTCATCATGTTTATAATAATATATCATCGTGTCTTTTAATTATATGACATATTATTTCATTAGATATAGTTTTTTTAGTTTTATAATGTGATTTTTAAAGCGGGTTTCATTAATATGGTAGGCTGTAGTGTAGCTACATGTAAAAACGACTCAAGAAAGACTGAAAATGTTATTTACAACGTGTTTCCGAGCAATACGTCCCTAAGGGCTGCTTGGCTTGAGAAATGCACAGGAGCCGATAACTTTCAGTAGGTATATGTTTTCTTACACCAAAACCTTTCTTAGATTATTCATTCTTAAATATAACACAAGTATGATATATAAGTAGGCGGCAAAAACATTTAAAACAAAGGCCAATTACATTGCTTCTTTTTCTTTTTATTTATGGTTGCGAAATGATAATAGTAATTAATTATCACATAGTTAATAGTAAAATTTATTATTAAAAATTTTTAAACCAAAGGCCAGTTACATTTATTAATTTCTGTTTATTTATGCTGTCACCCATGGGCTTCACCCCGTTAATAAATAAGTATTAATAAAACTATTGATTGGTTAAAGTTAAGTTAAAATAAACAGGTAAGTAATGTTTTCTTGTCTGTATTATTGCATCACCTTCACTTTGTGATCCTTAACCAATTCACAGTGCTCGTCCACAATATGAACATCAGTCTTTCACTCTACTGACTGCGTTAATGTTTCCCAATAAAGAACTGACCCAGGACTCACAAACACTAGCGGACGCTGATCTTCTCAACGCAGCAATCCTGCAGAGGCCGCAGAGGGAATTATGATCATTTCAATTTCAACCCCATTCTTGCTACTTTAAGGAGGCGAGTTTTCTACTAGTTGAAGACAAAATAATTTGCTGATTCTGGAAAAACTCTAGTTCCTCCCGCTAATGTATTTTTTAATTTGGAATCGGAAACTTTACATTTTTCTTTACTTAACACTGTTGTATATTTCTGTGTACTAAAAAGTTATGTACATAACTGTTATAAATAAATTGTTTTGAGTTTTTCAAAAAAACCCTGGAGTTGAGCTAGTTTCTTCCTAACCATTATTATTTAGATCTAAAATATTGTACAACTCTTAAGTCAGCATTTTTAAATCAATTTCCATACACGTAATAAGTTAATGCACTTTGACATTTTCACAAATCAATAGACAGTATTGTAGCACATTAGTCCATAAATGATAAATTATACAACTTATACAAAAATACCATACAATAAATTGATAATATCTCTAATATATCAGTTGGATTGAGGGTAAAAAAAATTATGGAACAATTTTTATTTTTAACTACAACAGTACTATTCCAACATAATAAACACTACAGTTACACTAAAATACATGTTGAATTTCTGTAATTTTGTGCTCTCTGAATTTGTAAATATTTGAGCAAACTTCTATAAATTACAACTATGTATACAATGTTAATAGTAAAAGGCATTATGAAAAATCACAAGCTTAAAACTATCACAAGATTGTAGATGTTTAAAAGGGTTATTTGACTAAACTAAGATATTTGACCAGTTTTCACTTAAACATTTTTTGTAGAGACAGGAAAGCTCCAATTATTTTAAAAACAATCAACGATGATACTTAACTGTTTCATCTATAGATTAAATATTTTTTCCAGTTCCTTGACATGAGTTTTAACCATTTTTAGCAATAAAGAAAATTTGTTTCATAGTGGTCAAAGGTTCAACATGCAGTTGTACCTTTGACCAGTGGGTGTTGTACCAACCAGCATATCGATTTCAGCCCAAAACAGGTAGAAAAAAAACAAATATATATCTTACATGATAGTTTTTAAAATATAAAACCAGATACACAAAGTTGAACTTATTATTCATTTCATCAATAATTTCAAGATCAAAAAATGGCTTATTCTACTTTTTAGGAAAAAAAGTCCACTGCAAAATTGAAAAATTCTCTTTGTCGTGCTTATCCACTTGATTTGGCAGTGTTAGGGAGCTTGGCGACAACCTCCTGTAGGTTCCACAAAACAATGGCTTAATATTAATACATTAACATATTTCAATAAAACCCAGTAATATAACTACACTGAATACAGATGATGTTGTACCTTTGACCTGGTCAAAGGAACACCACTATTAAGTGGTCAAAGGTACAACACTAGCGCTTCCCGCCATTTTATGTATATTCTCAAAAGATATGTGATAATACCAGTTTCAAATATCCAAGAGAAGTTAGAGGATAAACATCAAATAATAACCCCTCACTTTTACTTTTATTTGTAGAAAATATACATTGTATAAAACAAACAATAAGTCAATAAATGTTTACTTTTCAGTAGCAAAAATGAATAAACTAAAATATCTTCCAACAAACACAGCTTTCAATCTCCAATGCAAGGTGAAGTAGTCCTCTGGTGGCTGATCTATGAACTAGTTTCATTAGCGCTTCCCTATACAGCCTCTAGATTTCACTATATGACTGGTGGTCAAAGGTACAACACTCTTCCCTACTACTAATATCAGTGGAATGCAATGATCTCTAGTGTAAGAGAGATTATTGATATTTACAGAAAACATATTAAAAAAAAAACATAACATATTAATACTGTACCGGTACAGTTCTTAAATCATGTCAAACTTTAAAAATCATGTTTTCATGACATATTGACATATGATCAAGAGAAAGGTATTCATGCATAAAATCTTTATACAGTATAGTAAATGTTCGTTACGTGAAAACTTACGTTCCATGGCAATTAAACGTTGCTTCTGCATCAATGGACGAACCTATCATTTTGGATGAGCCTTTAAACCGTAATCGTACAATTAATTTTCAGAGTTTGTCTCTGCAAATAACTTTTCACAATGAATAACTATAAATATAACTATAAATAGGAACTTGGAAATATAATCTAAAAAAAACGCAATAAAGTATTGTCGTTATTTTGTCACCACTAATATTATTTAATCGAACCAAACTGTCATAAATATTTGCAAACCTAAACTAATTAGGCTTTCCAGCGACCCAATAATTACCAAAATCGGTCCAGTAGCAGTCTAGATTTCATTGTACAAAGTAAAAAAAATACATCTTGCTCAGTATTTTCACACTTCAATACCATTTGTAAGTTGCTTAGCTTTTTTGAAAATAACTTTTCAAAAAGGAAATCAACCAAAGTGAAGGTGAACTGATAATAATACTCAAGAAAAGGCAGCCAAAAGTTGCCTCCAAAAAAGAAAATGTGAAACCCCCGTTTTCAATGTATTTCTTATGGGAAATATGTGTTTTTTTTAACATAAATCTTAGATTTTCAGAACTGATCTAAATATAAGAAGATTGTATATATAGATAGGTCGATATTTTACAAGTTCTCTTCCTACAGATTATGACACAGTTATTTACCTATACCCGCGTGAGGCGGACATATACAGTTACTAGTTTGACTAGAGATGGGACCATCTGTATTTCTTTCAAACATTTGCAGCTTCTACTCAGGTCGTGGCATAAGGATGTGAATCCTCTAATCTGTTAACCAACAGATGCGTTCTGTCTGTTTCTTATCTACACCTCTGATAATTTCCTCCAAGCAATAACACTAGGTTCAACGTCAACTATGTCCAAGGCTATGGTGTATAAAATAAGAGCATGATCGTTATGATTTCGGATTTTAAAAATGTCAAGACTTTATAATCAAACTAAATTCAAAGAGAAAATAATTGAATAAAAAAATGGGTTTACCACAAATAATTGCGTAGTTGTGTAATGCAAATATATAACATCTATATTTCCTAGAATATACTGTATATATTGCCATCACACAATATCATATATATTTTCCTAATCTAATTGGAAACTAGTTTTCTTTGTCTCAACTAATTTGAGAGAACGGCTGGGTGTAGAAACTTGGTAGATGTGTCTAAAGAAAGGTTGGTTTGTAGATGAGCCAACAAAAAAGAAATGAGCTAATTCCCGAGAGACCTTAAAGAGTTACACACATGACACACACATACACACATTATGACACATTATGGACATTATGAGAATATCATTATTGTTGAGGAGAGTTATTGTATATATTTCTGATTTTGTGCTTCATTACGTTATATTATTAGCTAATTATTATAAATGCTATATTTCATATGTAGTTTTAACTTAGAGTTGTGAAGTAGCAAACATGCATTCTTTTAGGGCAGTTGTCGGCTTTTAGCACCGGTAACAGAGTCATAAACCATCGTCCTTCTGCGAAAGGACGGGCCCTTCCTCACCACTTTTAGAAAGTTGCAACCCCAATCGAGGGTGAGGAAGGTGTCTTTTATTCAGTCAGAGTCAGTGTCTCGACTAGCATCGCATTGTCAAGTTCGTTTGGCATAGTTTTCGCATAGGACGTGTGAGGCAGACCCCTCCACGTATTTCATAAGTCTTAATTCGCATTCAACAGTACATTCGCATTAGTTTTTCGTTATAGCATTTTAGTCAATCATTTATACAGTCCACTTATATCATCACATCAATAAATTCATAGTTCGTTTTTAAAGTGTTAGTTCTTTATTATTTCCATAACATTGGCGTACCATCACGCGCCGCAACATGGTCCTTCGAGCCGGATTCACATTATCAGTCGCAGTGAACGGTCTCAGTTGAACAGTCGCAGTGAACAGTCGCAGTGAACAGTCGCAGTGAGCAGTGATCAATGTAGTGACAAGTGTTTTATTCTACTTCGTGTATTGGATTTACCAGCATCATCTATCGTAAGTCTACATTCTATTTCATGTAGTGGGTTTAACCATCCATTTATGAACTGTGGACGTGAAGGTATGTACCTTAAATAGTCTAATCAACAGTTCAGGGGCTACACAATGAATTTTAATGAAGTTGTTTTTATGTGGTTGATAGAATTTTTCTCAAAAAATGTTTCCATTTCCTTTGATACAAATTGAGGTCCATTGTCTGTCACAATTTCATTTGGTATTCCATTTCGACTAAACCAAGATCTCAATCGTTGAATGATTGTTGAAGAGTTTGTTGTCTTGAGACAGTCCACTTCTGCCCACTTTGACAAAGCATCAATACCTACCAACCATATAGATCCGTTGACTGGCCCTGCCAGATCAATGTGTACCCTTTCCCAAACTCTATCAGGTACATTCCAAGGATATAATGGTACTTCTTCCACATTATCTCGATTCTCTTGACAAGATGTGCACCTCTTGATATAAACTTCGATATCTTTATCCATGTTGGGCCATCATACATAGTGTCGTGCTACAGACCTCATTGATACAATACCAGGATGTCCTGTGTGCAATATCTTCAGAACATCAGTTACGCGTGGGTTCGTATCCCATCCTCGTCGCCAATGTAGAATTACACTAAATGATATTCAAAATGTAAAAGAACCATTTTATTGAATTCTTAAACACATCAACCTAAGCAGAATATTTACTAACAAACTTAATAATAATAAATCAGCTGATGTATTAATTACTTATACATTTAACTATCTAACAGATAAATTGCCTTATAATCGAAGACTATAGTGTAATATTTTCAAAAGTAACAATATGAAGTGTTTACTATTTAATATTTACCAACAGCTGACTATTTAGAATAGAGTAATAGAACAAGATTATGACACTCTCCCTCTAGTACAATAAAAATATGTTTTGACCCAAAAAAAATTAGCACAACCGGGGAATTTGGTACAGATGTTGGGTGTACCTTCCTTTTGAACATACTAAAAGTCCCCTAAAATTGAAGCTGTGCTACGGCCGCCATATTGGAAAATGGCGGCAAATTTCTGTATTTTTTGCTATAGTTACTTTATTATTAGAGATACAGGAAAAAGCTAAATATACAAAATGTAGTTCATCTAAAAATACACATTTTTTGTATTTATCATCTTTCTCTAAACCCAACGGTTTTTGAGTTATTTGTTATTAAGTATATTTAGTTTTGTCTATTTATCAAAAATAGGTGAAACACATGGAAATTGACTGTTACTTTCAAGGCTTATGATAATTTATCCCATTTAGTTAAATAGTGCGATACTATAAAATCTAAAAATTTAAGCTTATTTTATGAGTAAAACAACTCCACCACAGCAAACCTGCAGACTCAGCAAACTTCCATTTGATTGGATGTTTTATTAAATGTATATAAATAAAATTAGGTTCAACGGGTACCTAGGTTTGCAGGTTCAGGTAGGTTATTATAGTGTGTGTTTTCTTTTGTAAAATATCAATAACTTAGTATAAAATAACTAATTTTCCAAGTTTGATCATATCTATAAACAATCAAACTACAACAGTTAACTAATTCATAAGAATAGCATGGGAGTTTTAAGTTTACAATTTACAGGTTTGAATATACAAATTTTGGTTGTGTTTACTAAAAAGATGGCGATTATTCGTCACGATTAGAATATTAACCAAATGGATTTTCAAAAGGAGATGGAGCCTGTTATTTAAGTAATATTAATTCGTACCAAGCACCGAAAATATTGTATGCAGTGAGGTAATCTACCATATTTTGTAAAGTACGCAATAGTCATATTAATATTTTATTATCATTTTTTACCCATCTAATAGTTAACATTTTAGTATTTTGATGGCACCACCACACTAACTATACTTGACATCCCATTGTAAATTTGGAAGGCTGTTTTTCGTGTCTAGTTCATGTTGGTGACTTATAGTATAGTTTGAAAACTAAGTATAGTTAGTTTTATTTATCAAAAATCTGTGAAACCCGTTGCAATTGACGGTTACTTTCGAGGTTTACGACAATTATTCATCCCACTTAGTTGATATCCGAGTGATAGTGGTAGTGCCATCAAAATATTAAAATGTGAATTTAATGGGAAAATGATTATAAAATATTAGTATGACTATTGCGTACCTACCTCACTGCATACAATATTTCCGATACTTGTTACGAGTTAATATTACAGTACTTAAATAACTTGCTTTATCTCCTTTTGAAAACCCCTTCGGTTAGAATTCGAATCGTGACGAATAATCGCCATATTTTTAGTAAACACAACCAAAATTTGTATATTTAAATTTGTAAATTGTATATTCTTATGAATTAGTTAACTATTGTAGTTTGTTTGTTTATAGATTTATTATGATCAAACTTGGAAAATTAGTTATTTATACTAAGTTATTGATATTTTACTTAAAAAAACAACCCATAATAACCTACCTGTAGCAGCAAACCTAGGTACCCATTGCACCTAATTTTATTTATATAGATTTAATAAAACATCCTATCAAATGAAAATTTGCTGAGTCTGCAGGTTTGCTGTGGCGGAGTTGTTTTACTCATAAAATAAGTTTAAATTTTAAGATTTTATAGTATCACACTATTTAACTAAATGGGATAAATTATTATAAGCCTTGAAAGTAACAGTCAATTTCCATGTGTTTCACCTATTTTTGATAAATAGACAAAACTAAATATACTTAATAACAAATAACTCAAAAACCGTTGGGTTTAGAGAAAGATGATAAATACAAAAAATGTGTATTTTTAGATGAACTACATTTTGTATATTTAGCTTTTTCCAGTATCTCTAATAATAAAGTAACTATAGCGAAAAATACAGACATTTGCCGCCATTTTCCAATATGGCGGCCGTAGCACAGCTTCAATTTTAGGGGACTTTTAGTATGTTCAAAAGGAAGGTATACCCAACATCTGTACCAAATTCCCCGGTTGTGCTAATTTTTTTAAGTTTATGGAATTTTTCTCTTATTTTTACTGCACTACTCACTTATTGAGAAGAACATAAACTATTTTTTAACGATAAAGTCTCGTAAAAGTCTCGTAACCAAGGTGGCTGTCGTTGTCTTATTGGTCGTGGAGAGCAAACTGGAATGTTAACTTCTGTAGGTTGGTCTGGTTCTGGGGCCCTATTTTTGAAATGGTTGACTGTTGAGTTGAGTGTCGAGTCATTCTATTTCCAATCGTTTGTCGTTTCGTATTTTTGAAACGGTTGACGGTGGACTTATACAACCAAAACTACTCAACACCTATCGAGCTGTTGAGTGGAAGTTGACTGCACTTTCTTCTTCCTCTCTTTCGGCAAAAAATTACTTTTTTTTAGACGACGCCATATTGTTTGTTATTGCTTTAATTTACTAATTGCGATTTAGAGGTTATGTATTTGTTGTCAACGTATTAGCACCCAATTATGCGATTGTTTTCTGTTGAATAATCGCATTTTAATTTTATTTACTGTGTCAATACTAGACTATTTAATCAAGGGTTTTATTCTTGTTGGAATGTTTGAAATAGACTAGGCATACTTATTGAACTTATTATAAGATAATTATTGTTATAAGACCTATGATTTAAGGTATTAAAGATTGTGGTAGAGAGAAACAATATCATAGTTTGTTTCAATACCATTCACCTAATAAAGGGATCAAATTAATTTAAGTTACGATAGGCCTAGCCTATGCTTCCAGTGCAATGGCAAATAGCCGCTTTAACCTAAATAAAAAACAATTAAAAATAACATAAAACAAACCGATGAAGGAAACTAAAATAAGGTGATGTGTTCCGAAATAGAGACGAAGAAAGCAAATAATAATGTATTTAGGATGAGTTTAGGACCTAAAGTAAAGTGCAGCCTATGCTTAAACTAATAATTAGCTACACCCTAAAACAAACATCCAAAGTAAATTTTATTTTTTATACTTAAGTTTATTACTTTATTTAGTTTATTACTTAAAGTTAAGGTACTTTGCAATCACTAAGATTAAGCAAGACATAACCTCAATCTCAATCTCTCAAGAACGGAGTTGACAGTTTACCTCAGTGTCTTGAAATATGGCAGATTGAGATTAGCTGCCAGATTTTAGAGTAAGAAGAGGCGAAGTCCGCAAGAACTCTGCATTGTGATTGGTTCAAAATGACGTCATCTGAATTTTTGACGGTCGTATGCTCTACATTTCCACCACGAGTCTCTCAACTAGTGATTCCCAACTGTTGGGTTTCAAAAATACCAAATCATGTTGTTGGTTGAGTTGAGTGCTGACGATTGACTCAACTGTCAACCATTTCAAAAATAGGGCCCCAAAACAGGCTGGATATTTGAATTAGGGTGTGGATAAGGAAATGGCATCAAGTCGAATCCTTAGTTTTCTATTGAGGTAAATTTGATGAAATTAACAAAGATTTCAAATACTAATTTTATATGTACTTTGTTATGCTTAAAGCGTAGCAAATTCCCTAATTAAGTTCTGGATTTGTGTGTGTATGTCTGTTGGTAACGCATTAATGTCCTTTTTTCTCAGTGTTTCACGGAAAGGACAAGCGCACCTTGATAATGAAAAATGTCAACCCGAATAAAGTGTTAAATTGTGAGGTTAATGTAGTACCTTATATACTTTTAACCATTGTGGAAAGTAACTTTCAGGCCTACCTTAGGGCTATGCCTCATAGATCTATAAAGCATTTTTTTTAGTTTAATCATTGGATTAAACTGCCAGATACTGTATTTGCGAAGGTTTATCTATAATTGTTTTGCCAGCATATCTGAAAATATTCAAATCAACTGCTGTTCTTAATATAAGAAGGTTTCAACTGGCTACGATAAGATCCCCGTGCGTAGAACGGGCACACAGCTAGTCAATAAATATAGTTGCTTTACATAGCCTAACACTACAAGACAAGATGATTATTTTTCAATGAGTTATTTACGATAACTTCTGTATTATCTAATAGTATGAAGAGAAATTATGTGTAGCAAAAGTGTTTGAAAAGTCTTTGTACATGTCAAAATGATCTTAGCGTCTTGACGATTTTCATTGAACCAGCTTTCTGTCGCATCCAGTAGTTTCGAAGAGGGTTCACAATCTCTGCCACTGTAACGCTAAAAAATAATAATTGAAAACAACTGGATAATTTCAAGAAATGATTGCAGTTACAGATTGTAGGTTGCAAAATCCTTAATCATTTTAGTTGGATAGATATTTACACGTACTTAATATTAGCATATTTAGTCACTTATCCACTATTGTAGGTTCATAAGTGGAGTGTCCAAGCAAAATTGATAACCTGTTAATCATTCTTTCTTTATGTGTTTTTTTCACATATTAGATGGAATCAGTTGTCCAAACATTTATTTTTTGTAACCTTGTAAAAATATTAAGTAACATGCCAAGCCTAAATAAAAAATAAAAACAGTTTTTACAGTTTTCAATAGTTGTGATTATTTGATAAATACTTACTAAAAATTGACAAAAGTCACTTCGTCATTATCTGGAACCCATCTCAGCTTCACTGAATTTTTGTCAGTGTTATTAACGTGCATAGCTGTGCTCTGAAACAATTTGCCTCACTCAATCATGACAATGACATGGCACTCAATGTGTTGTACGGTATAGAGTTCTTTTAGGGAATATGTTGCATTTATTTTTTTATAGATAAATACAACTTGAACAAATTTCTTCAAAGAATTATCTATATTTTTGTCTATTTTGTTCTACTAAAAAAGCGCTATCTGAGACAGTGGGTTAAACATTGCAGATTTGTTTTTGTTCTGATACTTATCAATGTACTATTACCACTTTATGCACAATTATATCTATAGGAACAATTTTTACTGTATCTCAAGAAACACAATATTTTGTGGGCAGATGGTTCCATAGGCTGTCCACTGTATTATATATTTGAAGACAAACGAAGAAACGAGGTAAGGACAGCAATGGAATACTACGTAAAATGAGTTAAGTTACTCAGTGATAAGCTAGCTCAATTGCATTATAACACTCACATCCAAATGGCCAAAACACGTGAAGACATCAATATCCTCATCATGGTTATCGAACTGGCCTGTAGCTTCTCCTGTCCCTAAGTCTATGGCGTGGATCATGAACCCCTGGAATGTGTTTTTGCCCGAGGCAGCCAGTGTGACATAAACCCCTTGCTGGTTTGTGATCTCCGTCTTGCTGAGCGACACCCGGTAGGGCATCGGAGGTTCACGAGGGATCACCGAAGAGTTGGTAAAGTTTCCCGGATTCATCGACTCGCAGTTATCTTTCCAAGGGTCAAAGAGTTCATCGACTTCATCTGCGTATTGTCCCATGACTCTCACTATGATGGATACTACCACTAATATCACTGATGGTGAGAATATCATCTGTGCCTGCAAGTGGAAAATACAACTGTAATATGTAGTACAATTGTAAAAATTGTCTTAAAAGATTAAAATATTTTATAATAAAATAAACAGTAGTTTGTACAGTTTGGGATTATATAAAGAGCAAATCATCAGATGAAAGTATTCTCTATCTCCATTGACTCCATTGACCTGGCCTATTGTATGACATGTATACTTAATGGCAATAAACTATTTGAATTTGAAGTAGTTTTAATGATGACTGCCCTTGATCATGATTGATGTGACATAATCAATAGTTTCTGGTGTGGAAAATGACGGTCTTTCAGTTCAATCTCCCTGAATGAGCTGAATGAGTGCCGTGTAGTTACGGAGCACACCATTGCAGCAAATCGAATACCGAGCACGCTCTAGCGGCACATTGCGGAACCTTCCTTTGACAGTCTATATTTATATTCTAAAAACTGTTGACTATTGGATACAGAAGTTGTATCAATCGCCAAAGCTAAAACTTACAAATAGAATTGGTCCATTTCCATTGTTTGTCAGCTGACTAATTTCCCTGACTTTCTGTTAAACAGCTCACCAATGTCCAATAACTTGTGTAGATGAAGCAGCAAAAAAAGTAAAAGCTAGGCACTAGAAAGGCATAAGGTGTCTTATATAATTGACTATACATAGTGTAGACTACCATTCCAATGTAAAAATTTGAATCCAAAAAACGTGGTGCAATCTGTAGAGATGGTCTACCAACTAATGACAATATTCTGTGTCAAGAGATAAATCAATCAGCTGTTGGCATGGATTTTAACATAGAACAAAACAAACATAGGCCTACTCCTTAGTAGATTTCTCACCCTTATGGAACAGAAGACAATTTCATTGTTAGTCCTGTACGGTGTACTGCAGAGGTTGTGTTTTGTTACAATATGTTTCTTGTTATTTCAGTAATTTAAAACCTCATTTAACCAAATAATACGATCTAATCATAAACAATAACTCGTCCCCTAGTCATATAACCGAACAGTAAAGCACTAATCAAGAAATTAAACCTAAAAAAGTAGAAAAAAATGTTGTCGACACTGCTTAAGACATAATTAAAGATTGTGGTCTTAGCAAATTCTCAAAGTGCAACCAAGCAATACAAAGTAGAATATAGGTAACACTTACTGATGGATGTTCTTGAAAGACGTGGAATTGAAACTAAAACACCACCCATCTTGCATCTAGACTGGTTGTCGGTTGATGCTTATGCTTAAACTGTAATTTGTGTTATCATTTCATCTTATCAAGTTGTTTTCTGAATCATATCATGGAACAGTACTTATTTTTTATTAGCTGTAAAATTAATGTTTTATTAAATTGAGCTGCAGAATCATACATTATTTAGTTAAAACAGGTCCAGCACTTGTTCTTGAGATGAATGAAATTTCTATATTTGATGAGGAAAATTACTAAAACCAGGTAGTTTTAAGAATGGAGAAGGATCGATAAAATAATTTTAATTATTTGAAAGTCTCCTTAAGGATGTGTTCGAGTAATCTCCCGTGACTAATAATGGTACAATAACTCGTCAAGTAATCCGAATATAGTAATCCAGGGGCCATCAACATGGAATTTAATAGTCTCCCATGTTCAAAAACCTTGTAATTATTTTAGTTGGATGGGTATTTACTCCGCAGAGAACCTATAATATATTATCAGATAAAATATTTCTTCAATATAAATATTGATTAAAAAATTTAAATCAACATTTTAATAAGTTTCTGATTGTTGGTTTCAATGCTATGTCACACACCAAGTCGCCAAGACAGGGGAAATTGATCTTTAGTTAACCTAAAGTCAAAATATTCATAATTTTACTTCATTGTCCATCAGGTGCCTATCTATAAGGAAACTAAAAACACCCTCTTATCAGTCTTATCTTTATCTATAAACATAGATTTAAATAGTTCACTATAGAATTTTTGCCTTTTGTGTAGTAGAACTAGGGCTATGTATACACCTTCATTCATATCTTCTTCTCAAACTATGGTCCTACATCAGGTTCTCTGCAGAAGTATACCCGTTATGTAGAAAGTGCCAAAGTGGTATGGTTTTGGCAATGTGCTATAATGAAAAGAGTAATTTAGATATTGCAGCATCATAAGAAATTTAGTCTACTTTTAAGATAACACATCCAAATGTTAACAACTTAAGCAAACATCAAAACAAGCTTCAAACTTTGAAATATTACAGCATAGATAAGAATGCTCCCTTTCAATATCAATGACCATTGTGGTTAAAGTATGACTAGTTTCACTTGCTGTATCTAAAGTTAATGGGTCTGTTGTAAATTAACTTGTAAGAAAAGATTGATGAAGTATAAGAAAATTAATTGCCAACAATGCCAACTACTGTATTGTTGATATTGCTGGTAGTTCTGAAGTTTCCCGCTTGGGACAGCACATATCTCTGTCGTGACGTGACAACTCTGCTGCACTCTTTTGGGAATACCTCAAACTGTTTGCTTTGGTATTGGTGGTTCCCCTTTTGCCGCTGGAGGCAGCACGTGACTTTGTTATGACAGCTGCTGCACTCTTATGAAAAAACTTCGAACTATTCTACTAACGTACGTAGTCCCCTAGATTGCCGCTTTAGGGCAGCACATTAGTTTTAGTTTATATCATATCTATGCTGGATTTTTATTTTTATTCCTTAATGGGATTTAAATTTTAAGGTTATGTCAGGGATTGAAATAGATTGCGAGATAAAACAAAACGGGATTTAACAATCCAGTAGCCCCAGTAGAGGGATTCTCATGTTGGTCGTGAGGATCGTTGTTTGTGTAGTTGTTGTCTTTTCTTTGTAGCTTGCTTGCTTTGCTTTTCGTGAATGTGTCGTAGTGAAGTGTCATCAAGTTGGATTTGTTAGAGGTTAAGTGACAATAATAGCATAGATTCAAGTGAAAGTTTGTGTTTTAAATTAACAAGAGACTCATAAAATTAACGGTAGTTGATTGATTTTGTCATATTTTATTACTTTAAATAAAAAAATTGAAGGTGGAATCGTATGTGAACTTAGCACACCACATCGCCAGCAAGTTAATTTAGGTGGCCTACCTGTTTTAGGATGTTTTTGGCAGAAAGAAAATGATTCATTTGAGCGCGAAAGTCCTTTAAACCCTTTGGAAAAAGTAAGTCAATAGGCCTAGTTATTGTACTCTTTTACTTGCCAATAATGTAAGTTAAGTTTATCAAGTAACTTAAGTTAGGTAGGTAGGTAGGTAGGTGGGTGTTAACAAACCTGCAATTACTTCAGGTTGAGTCAAACAACCTTTTTAGTAGCTCGCAGCACGGTTTTTGGCGGGGTAAGTCCACTACTGGAGCAGTTTCAGTCATAGGCCTGTCTGATGAAATCGCAAACTTTTTTGAAGACAGCGACTTAGTATCTCTTGCACTGTGTGATCTGAGTTGAGCGTACGACTGTGTTCCTCATGGAATCCTTGTCGATAGCCTAAGCTTTTCGCTTTTGGTGTCAGAGGTAAATCTCTCTCCATGCTCAGTAACTTAGCTTAAGTGACAGAAGACAAGTGGTTGACATTAAAGGGTGCAAAATCCTCAGAAAGGGAGGTTCCACACGGAGTCCCTCAGGGCTCAGTTCTTGGGCCACTTCTCTTCCTGATTGCCATTTTAAAACGACCTGGGGAGGTATGGAAATCTTGTGCTCTTTGCTGACAATACTAGGTACCTTGTATACCAGAGGGAAAAAACCGGTCCCTGCAATGGAGCAAGCAAAAAATAATCTGAAAGAATGAATTTGAGGCCAAGTCAAACTGGATGACTTTCACTCTGTCACGCACCCCAAACAACATCGGTGGGAGTGTTAAACTATTGGGTTTCTACCTTGACCCAATACTGGACTGGAGGGATCATGTCAAACATGTCTGCGATAACTTAAGCTGGCTCGTGTCATATTTCTACTGAGGAGATTTGATAAGTATGTACGTAGGTTCCTACCTTGTTCTGATGTAGGCCTGCCATGCTATGTTTCATTGTCATACCTCTTATTGCATACATCTCTGGGGACACGCTGCTGGAGCAGCCAGAGTTTTGAAGCTCCAGAAGACAGCTGTGCGCATTATGACAAGCAGCCATCGCCATAAGCATAGCGAACCCATCTTCAAAAACCTGGGCATCTTGACCATCTATAGCCACTACATATGGGCATGCATGCAGGAAATCAAGAACGTACACAACATACAGAACAAGGGCTGACATACACAGCTACAATACAAGAGGCCAAAATCAACTTGATGTTTCTCGCAAGTACATCGCATTAGAAATCGAGACTCATACCCTGGAAGTGCCATCCGTTTCTTCAACAATCTCCCAGCTGCCACAAAGACCCTTGCCAACAGAAAGTTTAAAACCACCACAGGAAATTTGCGCTTGGAATTGATCGTTGGCCAGAGAGTAAATCATTGAGGTTAAGAATGGCACTAAGGTCAAAGCTCTAAGCAGCAGAAAATCTTGCCATAGACTTCCGCAACGACCAAACGTTTTACTAGTTCGTTTACGGATTGTAATACTAGTTTAGGTCCTACTAGTTCTAGACAATTTAGTTGTCTAGTCTATAACTTTTCTATCATTACAGGCCTAGGCCTGGTTCCATTTCCAATATCGGAAAACAAAATTGTCAAAAATACTTGTTGTCTTAAAATCCTTAAAACATAAATAGGGCCTAGGTTATATTTAAAAGGCACAAAGACCTAGAAGAACAAAATCTGGTTAAGTGTTATGATTTAATAACCCCACCAAACACAATTATTAATTGTCAAGTCCAGACACTAAACAGAGTGCACAGAAGGTTTCCAAGGATCTGCGCCAGATAATAAAATCCCCTGTTTTACCATTAGTTAAACTTTGCCAAGTGAGTCAGTTTTGGTAAGAAACAATGGGAAATGAAAACACAACTACGTTAACTTTTAACTTCTTAAGTAGGTAAACACTCAGCAAATGTTGCAAATTCATTCACAATGCAAAGATAACCAAACTTCAAGGGCACATCAAAAGGCAAGTAAGGTTTCATCAATGTTAACTAAACTTAATCAGTTCTTAGGCTTAACTTGAGTTTTTTAGGCATGTGAGGAAGGAATACCGGACTTCATGCGGATTGTTTGCTTTAAAAATTACGTAGGCCTATACTGTATTATAAATAAATAACATTTGAACCACTCAATAGAACTTTGCATTCAAATTATTTTATTCTCTTTTGTGGGCACATAACTTAGAACTTCTAAAAGGTCTTTTTAACCGGTGGATCGTAAGTTTAGATCAAAGTAAAGCTTTCAATAGGAAGTTTTACTTTTTTATTCATTAACTTATCTTTTCTGTATTGGCTATAACATAACCAATGATAATGAATATAACTTAACTTAATTGTGCCTAGTATTTATTTATTCCCATTCCAACGGCCAAAGACCATTACAAATATGATTAGTACCGGTAACGATAGTTATAATCTTAAATTAATAATAAATATGCAGTTATACAATTACAATTACAATACATACAGTTACAAAATGTATGATGAATAACAGATAAATAAACACAAACAACATAACAACTATACTTAACATAACAACATAACAAATAAATATTTTAAGAGTTTAACAAGACAAGAGGACAAGAAACACCACTCATTTTACATGCACATTGATTAATAAATATTCTAACCTAGGCCTATCTATAAATAACAAATATATAACAACCTACGGTATAATAAAATTTGTTGCTGGCGCAGGGAAGTAAACCGGACCGTGGCCTTCCTTCAAAAAGTCCCCGTGGTGTCTCCAAAGAAGTTGATACTGGCCCCCAAAGTGTTTCCAAGACTAAGAAATCTTGCAAGAGGAGCTTGATAGGCTAATCGTATTGGCTACTGAAGTGCCTCTTGCCGAACAGATCTTGTGAACGGGTTCTAGAAGGCACATGGAGGTCCACTTCGGCAAGTAAGGCGGGACAGTCAATTTGGCCATTGAGAAGTTTGTGGAGGAAAACAACGTCTGCCACACAGCGGCTCAAGTGAAAATCTAGCAGGTTTAAATTGTTTTGGAAGACGGCCACTGGGACTTCACGGTACCGCATGCCTTGACGGCACCGAGAAATCTGATGTATTTCTTCTGGTTACCTTCGAATTTGTTGATGGGCCCTAGGTGGAAGGGTGACCAAACTGGGCTGGCGTACTCCAAGTATATAGGCTATATATTTTAAAGCTAGGCCTATCCCAATTCATCATTTTATACACTTGCAGTATGCAACCTTTTCTGAAAATAGGCTAGATAAATTGATAGGCCCACTTTATTAACTTGTTGTTTTGAATTTTAAGTATTTGACTTTGTCAAGTTAAAGATAAGCAGGGGTAGGGCCTTTTGAAACCTTTTCCAATATTATATTTTTTTGTTTCAGCAATGAAGCTCCCAAAGTTGCCCTTGGATATCAAGGTACCTTCCAGCGTTCTCTCAAGGCGCCATGCTGTTTGGCTGGTGGAGCCGCCACATTGGTTGATTTTGGTAAGTTCCTGTATTTTATTCATATTTTCAGTGCTCGATTTGCGTCAGAACGGTGTTCCGGTACCTCTCAAAAATTTTTTGAGTGGTGATTGGTGGGGGGGGGGGGGGGGGGTTTGGGTATCACTGCATTTTTTATCCAGGTATTTATAAGAGTAGAGACGATCCTACACATTACTGAACAAACAGTTCACAAAGTTTCAGCTTATTTCCGTTATATTAAAAACTCCTTAACTCTACATGCTCCAGAGATTATTTTATTGATCTAATTATGCATATTTTTATTATTCTTCCACATCATCTCATGATATAAAATACCCCCGCCAAACAAGCAAACTACAACATTTTACAATATTCTCCATAAAAATAACTTGGGAATTTTGAATTTACAATTTTTGTATTTTCTCCGTTCCCAATAACCGTACAAAAACTCTTTTATATACTAAATTATTTGTTTTTTTAAGCTCTTTATAAAAGTCTGGAGAAAAATTTGAAAATGTTGTGCTTTGAGGGTCAAAAATGAGAAAAACCATTTTTTACGTTATAAAACCGCCTCTAAAACCCCGTTCCCATTGTCCGATTAATGCTGGTTCGCAAACTCATTCAAGTTTACGTGCTGCCTTACACCTTTAAACCAAATTTCATCAAAATCGGACAAAATTTACTCAAGTTAACTCATTCACGTCAAAATAAAAAAGTAAATCAGTCCCGGGCATAGGTTTTACTGTGCCACTTACGGTGATAGCTTCTTCACTCTAGAGAAATTTGCTAAAAAGGCTACTTGTTCATAAAATGGAGTTTTCAATGGATACACGTACACAAAGATTAAAAAATTAGCAAAATGTCTGACCAGTCCTGCTACTTACAAAGAAGCACCCATTTGGTTAACTTCTACGAATTTCACTGAGACAGGAGTCCCTAGACCTATATGAAAAGATATTTTGAACTTCTGATCAACGGCGCTCGCTTCTCTTCTAGCCGGGAAGACACCTTCTTTTATCATACTCACACTATTCTTAATCAGACCTGAGCAATGGTGTTAAACCCTAGTGTGTTATTTATATGCTGAGGGCCGTTGGCAGCTCGCTCAAGAGATCCCCGCTACTTCGGTGGCTGTAGCAAAGGAGGTTTAGAATACACAATTGGTATTGCTTCAACTTGATGAACTCACCCCTGTTTTCCCTCAATGTGATAGGGGTAAAAACTTGAAAACAGGACAGTTGCTGTCCCCTATATCTGAGAAAATAAATACTCATCAATAGTAATTAAGTCTATTTTTTTCTAATGTGTAGCCTTTGTAGTTCATAAACCTGATCTTATTAACTCTAAAATTAATTAATAACATAAATTTATTATTGCTTTGAAGAGAAATTCAACCTCTGGTTTTTGAGTAATCTGGGTCACACAAACAATCCTAAGTTTTGACAAGGATATCTACAATGAATTATGCAAATTGTGATTACAACAGCTTTTAGATACCCAATAATACCTAAGTGTGAAAAATGTGATTGCTATAAATATACAAGATGTTAAAAAACTCAAAATAAAACTCTAAAAAATTGCTGTAATGTAGGATCCTTCTATATTTTTTATCTTACTCACAATACAAATTATAGGCTGCAATATTTTTTTCTTTAAACAATATACTGAAAAGTATACCTAATTTTTAACTTAATAATGACCATTAAAGTTAGCGATTTTATTTGTATGCATACAAAAACCATGTGACCCACCATTTCAATTGAGTGACCCAAATTACAAGTAATGTAGGTCACGTGACTGACGTCACACGTAATGCAGGTAAGGGGACTTACATTACACAGTGACTCAAACGCATAAATGGAGATCTTCTATGTATTAAACAAAACTTGTGTTATCCTATCATAAAAGTGTCACCTTTTTGTTATTATCGTCTGCTAATAACACTAGGCGAGGTTCGTAATTTTATTGCAAATCTAGGAGCCAAATTCTCACCGCCCACATTGTTGTATAATCCCGTCCATCATCAAAATAGGTAAAGTAAAGACAGTAAACAGAAATAATATTCAATTATATTGTGGGTTACAGAAAAATTAATTCTCGACATTGAAAACTCATAAGAGAAGTAATTTGGGTCACATAATTCACCAAAAGCAATGTAGGTCACACATCAGATCCTCAGATTTTGTGACCCAAATTATAGTGACCGACATTAGCATTTTCACTCTCGTCATTTACTAAAATGGAACATAGAGTCCATAGTTCCCTTTGCTGGCCATAAGTTTGTTTAAGTATGGGTTTGACTTATAATTCCTTAGTTTTAAATAAGTTATTTGCCTTATTATAACAGTTATTATCAGTACCGACTACCGACCATTACAAAAATGTACCTAAAATAGAACATAGAAGCCATAGTTCCCTTTGCTGGCCATAAGTTTGGTTAAGTATGCGTCTGTCTTATATTTTTGTAGTTTTGAATAAGTTATTTACCTTATTGTAACAGTTATTATCAATACTGATCATTACACAAAAACTTAACTCTTACAAAACAGATTTTAAATCAAGACTTTCTGTATAAACTGGAAAGCCTAGCATCACATAACGTCTAAACCTACTTCACCCACAGTCAACAACGAACACAGAGAGGCCGAAATATTGATCTTACCGGAGTCGATAGGGTTGAAAGACCTGACGAGAACTGGTTCCTACCCTCGAACCCAGAATTACATTAATGGCCAGGGACACGACTTTTAACGATCGTTATTGCCAGTATAATTTCATTAAAAAGTTTTTTTGGTAATTTTTGTCAATATTTTAACATTATTAATTAATTTAAACAAAATATTTAAAATTTATTGCCTTAATATTACTGAAAATATAAGTTTATGTATCCAACTTCTAACCTAGGGGACAGGGTTTTTGCAATAACTATACCCATTTTGGAACTTTTCAAACACTTTTTTCTTTACTACATAGTATTATAATCGGAAAACATAAACATTTCTATTATAAGGAAGGTATAATAAATCATTTTAAAACTATTTGGAGCAGGAATAGATGGTGGAAGAGGTATAAATAGCTAGGGACGGCAACTGTCCTGTTTTCAAGTTTTTACCCACAGACCTAGGAGTCTAGAAAAGACTATCTGAAAAATTATTAAATTTTTATAATATTGGGCCGGCTAGGTAAAATTGTTTAAAACCTTTGGGTTTTGGGTCCAAATCAAGTCAGGTCAAAATCTGGTTTGAAAAATACTGATTGAAAATATACAATAGCGAAAGAATTGGAAACATTATCCTTGGCCGCCACAAAATGATGATCGTCTCTTGTAGTCGCGGTCAAAACCGTCATGTTTCCTGCGTGTTCGCCGAATCCAGGGAGTTGGGGATTGTTCCATTATTTTTCAGAGTTTTAAATGTCCATGAGTTTTAAAAAATGGGCTTTTCTGTTAAAATTACGGGAGTTCAAATACTTTTTTCAACCGTACTCATATTGAAAAGTGGGTCTGATAAGTTTGTAGCATTTCGTTTGCAAGGGTGGTAGTGCTGGTAGCAGGCGGCGAGTCTACGACGGCAGCGAATCGACGAACATTGAGCAAATCGTGGAACCTTCCTTTGTCAGTTTATAATTGAATTCTTTTGTCTATGGTATTATGCATCAAGGAAGATTTAGGTATTTTATGTTTCCGTGATATTCTGTGACCCAAAATGGTCCCCACCAGATTTGAGCATGTGTGAATTTTTTCATTGCGGCGTTCCTAAATTTTGCATCTCTACACTCACAAACCCTGATGGATCTTAAGGATGCAATTAACTAGGAAGTGGCAACAACTAAATAATGGTCACGCTTTGAAATTCTGAAACCTTTTTGCACATAACCCCAGACTAGGCACAGTGCCGGATTTACCACTAGGCCGATTAGGCCGCGGCCTAGGGCCGCAAGCAGAAGGGGGCCGCAGAGGATTGAGAAAAACATTTTTTAGATAAAAATTTTTTTTTTTTTACCACCAGTTTGCAGCGATCACAGGTGACCATAATGATGTCTCCGCGGACCAAGGGAGATGTTCACGATTTTGCCACGGCCGCGGGTGACGGCACAGAAAACATACTACTATAACCTTATAGTATAAGGTTATATTAGTATGTTTTCTGCAACGATCACATGTTGGTTTTCCGTGGTGACGGCGATGTGTCCTCATGATCGCAGCCCGCGGGAGACGTTCAAGAATTAGCCGCTGTCGCGAGTTGTCAATGATAATGTCCCCATGATTGCGGCCCACGGGAGACGTTCACGATTTAGCCGCGGCCGCGGGTGACGGCGATGTGTCCTCATGGTCGCAGCCCGCGAGAGACGTTCAAGAATTAGCCGCTGTCACGAGTGTCGATGATGTTGTCCCCGTGATTGCGGCTCACGGGAGTTGTTTACGATTTCGGCACGACCGCGGGGGACAATTATGATGTCGTCATGATCGCAGTCCACCGGAGATATTTTTAACACGACTTTGCCGCGATCGCAAGTGTCGATGATGATGTCCCCGTGATTGCTGCTTCGCGGGAGATGTCTACGATTTGGCCACGGTCGCGAGTGTCGATGATGATGTCCCCGTGATTGTGGCCCGCGGGAGATGTTCACGATTTTACTGTGGTCGCGGGTGACGGTGATGATGTCCTCAAGGTCAAAGCCCACGGGATATGATTTCGCCGCGGTTGTGACTGTTGAGGATTATGTCCCTTTGTTGCAGCCCGCGGGGGATGTTTACGATTTTGCCGCGGTCACGGATACCTATGATGGATTTGTCTTGGTTTAGGAGAGATGTCCGCGATCACGGGTGTCGATAATGATGTCCTCTAGATGCATAGGAGATATTCACGATTACTTCCGCTATCTCAAGGAATTTCCACCACAGGGGGAGGGCCGCTCAAGTAATTTGGCCTAGGGCCGCTAGTACCCTAAATCCGGCACTGACTAGGCATAGGAATCTGCTGCATCATCCCATAGCCAAATCCATTAATTGGCTAGATCTC